AATTGCCATTTTGACTAATATCAAAACGACGAGACCAACACATCTGCATACGAAAGAGAACATTATAACCTCGAATGTCAAGTGTCATCGGTCGATTTAGTTAGGCCAGGGAGGCGGTGTGACCGGGTCGATGGTATTATAAGGAGGAATGGGAAAAAGTAGAGTTTGAGCGGGTTGCTAGGCAACCTGAAGCTTGCTGGATCTCCACGTCACATTCCGGTCATAAATCACTCACGTTTGAAATAGCTGTCAGTTTGTTTTGGTTGTAGGTCTGTCGGAACACCTTGAAATGTCATTATTAACATTTATCGCCATCACTCATGCGGCCATCGAGAGAGTGGAAAGATAACCGTAGTGTTTGAATATGCTGTTTGCGTTGTTGAAAAACAGAATTTTATGGTGATGTATCTTGTTTTGCAAGATGTAACATACTGACGATCATCTTTTCCTCAATTATGCTACGTTCACAAAGGTTCGTGCGAACGATAATTTCGTACGAATCCCCCTGTTTTTCCATTGTCTTCCCGAATTTCCATTGTCTGAAAATCGTTCGTACGGCGTTCGTAGCAGTTCGTAATGGCATTTGTGATTGTGACCGAGGCTTTAGTTGCGTGATGCATTACATTTTCCCACTGTCCTTTTAGTTATGCTTATTATTTGAGCACATTGTTCTTAATTGATTACTAAAGCCTCGGTCACAAATGCCATTACGAACTGCTACGAACGCCGTACGAACGATTTTCAGCCAATGGAAAACAGGGAGATTCGTACGAAATTATCGTTCATACGAACCTTTGTGACCCTAGCATAATACATGCACTTTCGAAAAATCAACCTAAGGAAAATTCAATAGAAATGTGCGAACACGACCATGACGTATTACGTATAAATCGAAACACAATTTCTTTGGGCCATGCAATGTGGAAAATGACCTTACGTTGATTTTCGAAAATAGTTGCGATCGTGTTAATTCTAAGTTCTAAATTATAGAAGAGCTCAAAGATGAAGTTGAGTTCTGGTCATGCGATTGCTTTGTGAAAGAAACGGTGTGAAATCGACCAGAAAAGGTTGATTATCTAGCATATAAGAATTTGTGTGTATTGCAAGGTTCTGGAATCATCAAAATGATAAGAAATTTGGCCAAGTCTTTATAAAGTTACAAACACTGTACACAGAAAGATGTATATGGGACTACACGAACACGTGGCGTAAAAACCCTACCCCCCCCCCCCCCCCCGAGTTTTACGAGTTACATGACATATTTAGAATATGAAGGCATTTTAAGAGCCATGCTTTTCAGGGAACATGTCTTATCTGATGTTCTTCCACACTTGCATAATAAGAATGATAACGCTCACAAATTATTTTTCACCTCTTCCCAGAACTCAACCTTCTCTTTAAGAATATATATTATAGGCTTTTTGTTTACGCGCAAACATTACGTAAACAGGATGTCATTAAAAGCTTTACGTTGGTCCAAATATTCAGGTTTTTATCCATGGTACGACCATCATGAGCAGATCATATGCCAGATGTCCTAGCTCGACACACATTTGCCACCTTGTGGAAAGTTTCAGGATGATCAACAGGGTGTATTGATTGGATGAATGAATGGCTGGTAGGTAGGTCCATGGTAGAGCTAACGGAAAGGGCATTTGATATTAATTTTGGTTGGATGTCTGTTGTGTTACTTGGTTGGTTTGTAGCTCGCTTTCTTTCTTAAAAATGGTTGGTTTGTTAATTGGTTAAGTGGTTATCGATTGGTTGGTTGGTTGCTAGATTGGTTGGTTGGTTAGTTGGAATTGGTGGGTAGGTTAACGTGTGGGTTGTTTGATATTTGGTGGGATGGTTTGTTGGTAGCTTGCTTCCTTCCTTACTTGATTACAAATGATTAGTAGCTAGATTGGTTTGTTGGTTGGTTTCTTGCTTGCTAGATTGGTCGGTCGCTAGATGGGGTGGTTGGTTGGTTGCTAGCAGTGCCATGGAGAGTTTAGCCAACCCAGCTTGAGTTGGACACAATATGCCGCACCCAACCCCCACTTTGTGAACGGAGGGATACCATCCCTACCATGCGTATTCCCGAACTCGCCGGCTCGTATTGACAGAAGAAAAGGTCTACCAGTATTGATTTTATACACCGGACTTTTGCTGAAAGGGGGTGGGTCACTGGGAACACGCATATGCGTACCCTAAATGGGGCCGGGGTTGGTTGCTTGCTTGCTAAATTTGTCGGTCTCTAGATGGGGTGGTTGGTTGGTTAATAGCAGTGCCATTGATAAGGAGAGTTTGGCCAAACCGGCTTGAGTTGGACACAATATGGCGACTACTGCTTTGTAAGTTAGTTGGACAAGCACAGAACAAGAGAATATACACCATGTTGTGACATGTGACCCAGTGAAACCAGGTTGGCCTAACTCTGTGTATAAATGGCTCTGGTTGCTAGATTGGTTGGTTGGTTGGATGGTGATTGGTTGCTTCCTTGCTTGCTTGCTTGCTAGATTGATCGGTTGCTATGATGATCGTTTTTCGTCTTTTTGTTATTAAACTATGATTGCTTGTTGTTTCTTTGTTTGTTTATATATTAGGTGGTTGATTGGTTCGTTTCCCTGGCCGCTTGGTTGGTTGATTACTTGGGGCGCGTTTATCGGGGCTTGCCACTAGATATGTCCATATCGTACCCCACTGTCATACCCCACTATCGAACCCCACTATACGATCGTGATTTGCGGGATGTCGCGTTTATCGTCTCTTCACGATTCACAATAAAGGCCTTGTCTCTTCGCAGCTGCTCAGCGCCGTTTGACCCGGGAAGCAGACTAACCTGGGAATTCCTATTTGTATGTGAGGTTCAAAACAGCTTTGCGTTTATCGATCTCTCAGAAACGTGATTCTGGCTGTATGTCACATTCAAAACACACCTTTTTGCGTCTTTAGATATGCCCATATCTAAAGCCCTTTAAAAAAGGCTTTGCGTTTATCACTTTCTAAACTTGCCTGAAAGACGTTTGAGAAACCTGATTCTAGCCAAAAATTTGGTCGATAAACGCAACCCATGATGCGAGAGCTTGCATGCCTTGTCATTCATCGATTAAATTCAAACTACCTTACAAATTGATGTTCTGTGGCCCACCAGTCCTTTTCACTAGTCTCTTGAGTAAACCTTGCTGTACGTTTTTCCTGCCCCCGTGTGTCCGCGGTTGTCATTTCAATTCAAGAATTTCATTTGCCTTGTCAAGAAAGAAATTGCGAAAGGCGCGGTATACAGGGTGTATCATAATAAAGGATATTGAAGTTTAATGACGATTTATATGAAAACTACTGATTTCATAATCAAGCACTTATGTCTGTTGTAAAGGACAGAATGTCCTCTTTTTAATGACACCCCAATGATACTTCTACTGTCACAGTTGACTGAATAACAAGCATTGCTGTCCACCATGTGAAAGGTGCACTGTGCCAAGTTTGATAACATTTCCTTCTTAGACACATAATCCACTCATTGTTCAGCATTTCAATATGTCTGGGCTGACACAAGCACTAATCTTTGAATGCTAACTTGTCACAGTGCACCTTTGACATGGTGGACAGCAATGCTTTGTTATTCAGTCAACTGTGACAGTAGAAGTATGATTGGGGTGTCATTAAAAAGAGGACATTCTGTCCTTTACAACAGACATAAGTGCTTGATTATGAAATCAGTAGTTTTCATATAAATCGTCATTAAACTTCAATATCCTTTATTATGATACACCCTGTAGATACGCTACAATGGAAAGCTTTTATTGAGACAAGACACTCTGTAACTTGAACTAGTTAATGACCAGTCACTACCCCTCTCATGCAGTAGTTGAAGCATGGATATAATTCACTTCTGGAGTCTCTCAGCGGGTTTCAAAGAAAGTTCAACGATGAACGCCTACACCGCTTACTATTTATTTTTCATTTCTTGTTCTTGTTCTCATTTTTATCAGTGAAAGTTGGCTCTCAGTGAAATTATATACATGCAAATAGAGTGAATGTAAAGTGTAAAAAGGTTAACTTTGATTTTCCTTGTCTTTTTTTTATCTTCCTCCAAACTTGTTCTCTACCCACCCTTTCTCTTCGACCCCCTTTCCCCATTCTTCTACCTTCCTGGTTCATTCCCGTACATTTTGTACATCTCGTCGTCCACAACTTGCCTCATACCTTGTTCACCCCGTTTCCACTCTCGACTCTTTTCTCGACTGATCCCAATTTCAACATATCCGCGTCTTATCTCTTCCATCCTATACAACATTAATTCTTTTCCACATCATATTATCTCCTTTGCCTATTGACTGATACCCCTCCACAACTTCCCTCGTGTCATATCCAACCCGATGCCACACCCTGTGTCATAACACACATCATCTACAACTTCCATCATACAACATCCATCGCCTGACCACACCCTGGCCCTGCTGCCTTCTTGGCCCATTTCGTGACACATATCGTCTACAACTTACCCCATACCTCATCCCTCTCATTGCCACACCCAATTCTCTCTGGACCCATCACGTTACTGATTACTTGCACTATCTTCCATCTCTACCCTTCCCACCCTTCCCAACATCCACACCCCCCCCCCCCCCTCCCCCCACCATACATTACCGGCTTTCTTGGCCTATTTCCTAACACGCATCGACTAAAACCTCCCTCATACCGCATCCAACTCCATTTCACATCCTCCTCAATTCTTGATCCATCCTGAAAACTCGCATCTTCTACGCTTCTCCATTCAACAACCACCCCCTGGCCACTCCGTTGTCTTGTTGGCGTATGACATTATGGTGTCTTGTCTGGAACTGCGTTCATACTTCATCCACCCACCTGCCACACCCTCTTCTGTATGTCTCCCGTTTCTTGCGTTATTTATCTCGTGTACCCCTATACAACATTCACTCGACCCCCTCGCCACTCCTCCTACTTTCCATCGCCCCCCCCCCACCCCCTTTCTGTGCACCCCTCCCTCCTTCCCTTAGCCAGTACCCGCGGGCATCTTTCGCTGGAGTGACTATGGACTCTGGACGACATGCACCGCTTCGTGTGGGACCGGGGTCGAAGGAAGACGACGAGTTTGCCTCGATGAAAGGTATGATCTCGGCCGAGGATTTTGCGTGAGGCGTTTAACTTTAAAGTTTACCTGTACTAGTTTAGAATTAGACCACTCTGCAAGGTCACTGGACAGGTCGTTATCTCATCAACTCGGCTCTCAATTAACATAAGAAAAAGGTGATCATAGAGGACCATTTCTACACCACCATAACCACCATATAGAGGGAGCAAGTAGCTACCAGTAGTGTGGCTTTAAAATCCCTGAAATACCTTTTTGATATTTCAAGCAATAACTCGACATTCATTTTGTCCCTTCTTTTTTATATAAGTTTGAGCTTCAAAAAAAGTTTAAGGCAATATTTAAGCCTCATAAAACCCTGTGTAAAAGTCTCTAAATGTAAGTGTAAATTTGTTTGATCTGAATAGTACTGTAGTTACTTTTCATGATACACAAGTTCATTTTGAATATTTTAATATGTAGTATAGAGAGTGTAGTGTGAATTGCTGTAAACTGAAGCCTGTAACAGCCAAACGTGATGAATTAAACTAAATAAATGATTTTGATATAAGAATATATTTAAAGGTAGGCCTACTTCTTGCATGATCGTTAGACTAAATAAAATTGATATTTGATATTCATATTGTGTATATATATATATATATATGTATGTATATAGTTATTGTTTAATTGTTGTCGGAGCTCGACTATGACACTGTTCTTATTATCACTGTCTAGGAACAAACCTATTCTCCTTTTTTTGAATTTCAGGAGTAATGAGGTAGCCCCTGAAAAGTGTGTCGGCTATCAAAAAGAGTATAGACTTTGTAGAATACAGGTAAGAAAATGTGTAATAATTCCAAATACTTTAATAGAGTAATATATCGATTTTTGATTAACATTTTGAAAGGTCAACATTCTTTCTTTAGTATACCATCGTTTTGTTTTGTTTACTTGTAGATTATCCTTCTGTCAGTCTCATGTGCACGTCATTAATGATAAATTGTCATACTAATCTATTTATGATATCACAGGTTTTATGAATGGTATGAGCTTTTTGCGCCGCGGTTAAAGTCATGATATAGAAAAGGGACTAGTTTTTAATTTTACGAAGATAAAACGATGAATAAATCTTGGTCCTATCTCTTCTTTTTTCTTTCTAGAATTGTCCTAATTCATTCGATTTAGGATACCGTGCTGCTCGTTGCGAGGAGATGGCTCCACCTGGTCATAGATGGAAGCCTTTCTACCCTTCAGAGAGTAAGTTTGGAAGAAAAGTTCGAAAGAAGTATCGCAACATTCATAATCAGTTTTCTATCTATCAAGGCATGTTCTCCCAGCTCGGGCGTCGATTGCCACATTTTTCACCCATCTCTGTTTTTTGCCACCCGAGCACACTCTTGCAGTTTCATCTCCTTCCATGTCTTAATGTTCCCCTCCCAGTTAGTTCTTGATTTCCCTCTCGTCCTTGTACCTTCTGCTTTTCCTTCCAATACTTCTTTAAAGGTAATACAAAGTTTTGGTAAATTTTGAAAATTGGGTGGATACTGATTCTTTACAATTTTGATATATTTGGATGCCCCTGTGGATGTATCATAAGCACTAGAAAATTTAGCCCCTAAAACACTTCTGCTTCCGAGAAAAATGAAATATAAAAATTTACCGGTGCTCCCGGTAAATTTTGATAAATTTAAAATAGCGCCTACGGCCTTACAATAGTACTTGCGACCGTGAAAATCTCAGAATATGTAGTAGTGATATATAATTTCCAAACGGGAATAGCGAATTGGTCAATTTTAGTCAAGAAACATTGTTTTATAGCTTAATTAATATCTTGACCTTGAGAGGGAGCTAAACAACATAAAGAGTTTATTATTTACAATTTCATAACTTTAGACACGATTTCAACCGCGACAACAATCACTAAATATTAAATGATCGCATCTGCTTCCAATATGTTCATTTGAACCAAACTCATAACCCCTATACCAAAACTTTGTATTACCTTTAAGCCTCGGTCACAAATGCCATTACGAACTGCTACGAACGCCGTACGAACGATTTTCAGACAATGGAAATTCGGGAAGACAATGGAAAAACAGGGAGATTCGTACGAAATTATCGTTCGTACGAACCTTTGTGACCGTAGCATTAAAGAGGCTATGTTGTCTTTCAATGTCGCCAAAGTCTCTTGCCTTTCTTTCTTCCTTTAACCATGCCTATCAGGATCATTTGTCCTGCCATATGCCCTGTTTTTCTACAAGTCTTCATATCTTTCGATGATATTTGAATCCGATGACCGGAGTGATAATAATTACAATGTAAAGTGTTTCGAAACGAAGTTTTAAACTTTACAAATTCGACTATCATTTTTATTATAGATTGCTTGTATTCTAACAATGCATCCAAAGTCTGAAAGGTGATTTAATAAGAGCAATGAGAACTACTTTTATTTTTGTCCACTAATTATATCAAGAGAGCTCTTGCCCCGTCTTATTTGCGAATGATATCAATCGCAACTATGAACATTAGAGATAGGGTAATGCAAACTTGCAATTGATTAGAGGACCTACGATTTATTTGGATCAATCGCAACTCTTAAAGCCTGTCTGCACTAGCTTGGCCAGGAGGAATTAGACCTCCTTGCGTGGTCACTGGCAGGTGGTTATCTCATCAAATCAGCTCTCAATTAACATGAGAAAAGGGGGACCACGGGGACCAACGGGGACCGCTTAGGCATTGTTGGCTGTATAGATGGCGCTAGTAGCTACAAGTAGTGCAGTCCCGATTGAATAAGACGGGGCCCTGACGTTACAAGAAAGTTTGTCATTTAATGTGTCACTTTCGACCTCTTCTACCTATCCAGGAGACGGCTACAGCCCATGCATTCTCGCCTGTTACAACGAGCATAACCAAGGGGAGGTTCGTGTTGTAGAACACGGTGTGCCGTCGGGGACCCGGTGCGCCAGGTTCCGTAACGGGGTCCCCGAGACGGGGGTCTGCATCGATGGGACATGCTGGGTAAGCGGAGAGGGTGCACATATTGTGGTGACGAGTGTGGAATGAGGGAGATGATAGGCTCCGGTTCTTTAAAAAATGGCCAGGTGTGTGATTATAAAAAAAGGGTAGCTTTAATATGTTGCTCAATTGGTTTTCCCTGGGCTACTGAACGTTTAGTATGGAAGCTTTAAAGTGCTTGTTGGAACTCGGCGAGTCGATTTATTTTGGACGAGAAGACGAGATGACGACTATTTTTTAACTCGGCAAGGCGATCGATTTCAAGTCGACTTGCCGAGTTCCAACAATCCGTCAGCTTGTCTTCTTGTCCGAAACAAGTCGACTTTCCGATTTCTAACATCTCGTCTTCATCGCATAATTTATTATCGTCATTTCGTCGGCGCTTTTAAGCCGGCTGCACAAGATGCGTCATTTTACCCAAACTGACCGTGGACTGTGTCAGCAACTGGCGCAGTTCTTGACATGCTATTTCGGATTGAAATCGTTAAAAAATAAATAGTTCAAACATTTCGATGACCTGTACGATAATTTATAAGCGTAGAATATCGTGATGTATTCATGTCATGTTATTTCCTTTTTCTTTGTCCATCTTCATTGAATTTCCAGAGCGTTGGCTGTGATGGGTACCTCAACTCTACCAAGTACCCCGACCGATGCGGCGTATGTGGCGGTGATGGCAGCTCCTGCTCGTTGGTCTTCAGTGAAATCATCTCGGAGAATCTACAAGTAGGTAAGCCTTTACTATTATATCTCGAACAAAAAGTCAGAATTATAAATATGTGATGATGGGACCCCTTTTGAAAAACAGCTCATAGCTGACAAGAGCAATCCATCCCATGAGTGGATAATAAATAAAAAATTAAAAAATTACTAATCCACATGTTATTTGATACAGAATATCCGATATTTGACGTTTTTAGATCATTAATTAAACATTTTAAAAAAACATTAAGCATAATGGAAGGAGTAGATACTGACTTATATTGTTGTCGACGTAGCTGTAACCATATTCGTATAACATTGGAGTGTCTTGAATTTATTGTTATGATATATTTAAAACTGTTAGAAATGTAACTATATTTCTCATTGTAATCTATTCTACGATACTTCTGTCGCGTATGAATGTAGTAATCATAAAAAGGTTCTTTCATGCTCGCTGTCATTTTTTTTCTTTCTTTGTCTTTTCATCTAGGCTACATTGATTTAATAGAAGTTCCAATTGGTGCAACAAATATAAAGATATCAGAAATTCGTAGCGTGAGAACTTACTTAGGTGAGTGTTGTAACAATTGCTATAATAATGATAATAATAATAATATGGATATTTATATAGCGCCGGTAGCCGCCAGGCTCTGACGCTCATGGCGCTGTACATTTCAATCACGAACATATCACTTTCTTAAACTAAAATAAAGGTAAATTAAAACAACACAAAGTATTGTGCCACAATTATAATTGTCATAATTTAATAGCACTGTTTAGAAAGAGGTGGGGTTTTAGAGCAGCTTTGAAGCCATGGATGGCTGTTAAGCTACGAATACTAAGTGGTAGCTTATTCCAAAGGGACGGACCAGGATGAGAAAGGCTCTTTCCCCCAGGAACTGTTCGTCTTAGGGACAACTTTATTCCATACATCATTCAGTCACAAAGTACTACAATTTAAAAATCATCATTTAATAACTTGGCAGCGTCTCGCGAAGCGCCATTTGTCTTCAAAGTTCGTCGACTTCTCATTAGAAGGTGTGTTATTTTTTTACAACAGACTTTTCAATAGGCTGTCGGCAAAACTTTCGTGAGACCCTGCCAATTTTAAAAATCATGGTTATTAATGTCATCTTGAGTTGGAAGTGTATAGTCGATGTAATAGACATTTTGGGGATTATAAATTATGTCATGTTCTGAGAGTCAATATTTAGCATCATTGATGTACATAAAGAGTCCTTCCGCAAACAGTCAAGTCACATGGCAGTCATTGTGAAAAGAAGGATATGCACTTGCAGCTAATCATTTGATTTTCTCTGATATATTTGTTGTGTTACTTTAGCGTTAATTCAATTTAGGAATTATATTTTATGAAATATTTTCTCAACGTATAAACGAAATCTTCACTCTGTTTTAGAGTCTAAACTATCGTCACACCGAGATTAAAATGGAACGAGATATGGAAGACATTCTTATGTCGAAGAAAGTATGAAACTTGCATGATATTTGGCCGCATGTCTCATTGAAAAGGAGAAGCATTCTTAATCCTTATGAAAATGACACATTACAGCACTGATGAATTCCGATGGAAAATATTTGATAAACGGCAACTTTAATGTGGAGACCGAGTTTACCAAGTACCTCCAGGCGGCCAACTCTGGAATACGTTACCAAAGAAGGAATATATTCAATGGATTACAATGGGAAGAGAGAGAAGTTATCACAGCCAGAGGACCACTTAATGAAACACTTCATTTACAGGTAAGTAAGGGGAATTTTTGATTTACCTTAACAAAAAACAAATTTCAGCGATATATTGAAGAAGGAATTAGTAGGATTCAACGAAATCTTATGGAAATCGTGTTCTAAAATATTTAAATTTACAAATTAAGATGAATGCATTCGCAAACGCATTTACGTGGAAAGTTTTAAAATGTTTTGAAAATTGAATCGTGGGGATAACATTTGAATATATACATGTATAGTGAATATGTTTTCTTTCTTGGTTTGTTTGTTAGTTATTCTATGTGTTTGTTTTCGTATACCGAAGGTAGCACCGCTGCAAATTATTTCGTTTTGACGAGTATGCTCGTAGTAGGCCTACTGAATAATTCATTTACCACTGCATGTTTCACTTTAAATAATGTTTATTCATTTTCATTTGTGTATGTGTTTGTTTGTTTGTTTACTAGATCTTAATCCTTAAAGACGGTTCATCAAATACCTTACAATATCAATATGTCATCCCCATTGAGACATCAACGCCAATACCCACCACAGAAAATTCTTCGGAGCCTCAACAGCATTTATTAAATTCAACGACGAGTATACCAAAGCACTATGAAGCAGTAGAGTCGCTTTTAGAAACAGAAAATATAAACCCACCTATTTATCCTGTAAATATGAGTGAAATTATTCAAGGGGATCCAATGTTATCGGAGGAGAGCTCTGCAAGTTCGCCAACTCCTATCGAAGAAAACTCAGAAGTTAGTCACTTCAATAGTTCGAGTAGGACCAGAATAGACCTAATTAGTAGGAATATATCGAGTGATTTTCGGGAGGACGACATCCCCAGTGGAACGAACACAAGAACTCAAAGGCCTCCTATACAACAATCAGTAGGAGATAGGGTGAACGAAAACGCAAATAGTACTGAAAGTACGCATTACGCTAGCAGCGTACTTCCTACATACAATACACCAATGCATAATACAACACATACGCATAATACTACGCAAATGCGTGATGATACGCATACGCTCAACACTACGCGGTCCATTGACTTCCGAGATCCACTTCGCCAGAGTTACGCGGCGCGTCCGGTGGTTAGTCCTTGGGGCGAGGGACAGGAGGGAACAAATCCAGAGTGGCCAGAAGGATGGCCAGAGATAGCGTCTCTGGAGGGGGCTGATAGAGGCCGTATTGTCCTGGAGAGAGACGGCGTTCAGTCTGGCAAAGCTTGGTCCACGAATGACGGAGTCAGGCAAGAGGGAGGTAAGTTTTTGGACTATCCTTAGCATTTTTGTATGGACTGTGTCTTATTAAGAGTTGCGATTAATTCAACTCGAGTTTAAATCAATTAAGCGCAACTCTGTAATAAGAAAGGTAGATTGTATTTTTTCGAATAATTGGAGGATTTACAATCTATTTCAATCAATCTAAATTGTTCTTATGACAGGACCCATAGAGGTTTATTTCTTATTTTGTGACGAACTTTTAAAAGAGGTGAATCCATGGTTATCAAAAAACGGGGAGGTTTGAAACGGCGGTATCTGTGATTCCTTCTCCTTTAATAGTGTAACGTTTTGTGACTATGTACTCAGAAAGCATACAAATGGACATAACCCGAACATTAGGATACACGGGATAGAATGCATTCTAAAAGAAGGCTCATTATTTCTCTAAAAAGGAAGATCGTTATGGTTTAATAATAAACGACTGTTTATTAAAAAGAAATCATACAAATTTGAAAAACGGAGGTAAAATATTGTGATGTCACTTGAATTACATGTGCTTTTAAGTATTTATACCATATCTTGATCCGATTTGGGTACTTCTTGCAAAGCAGACGGACTTATTTACGGTCCACCGTATAGGACGGAGGATTCCCCTTCACATCCTTCCCCTGAGGTGATCACGAGAGACATGGTTACCGTCGAGCTCCAGACGGAAGAACCTAGGGATGTCGACGAAGTGATCATTGACGTGATCGACGACCAACCCATCATCAAGCAGCACCAAGGCGACAACAAGCTCGGTTTCGAATCTCAAGTCCCCGAAGATCTCGACATGTCGGAATCTGATTACGACGACGATTTCTCGTCGTCCGACGTCGAAAACGGATTGCGATATTCAACGCGAGCGTCGTCGACGACGGGACGGCGCAGCACAACAACTGTGTCACCTACGACTTCATCAACGCCATCTACGACCATTGCTACCACTTCTGCGGGGAAAACGGAGGTCCAGACAACCTTTGAGATGGCCACATACCTCACTTCTGAAACTATGACTTCGAATCCAAGGACCACCACCACTGACCAAATGACCACGATAGCTGTCACCACCGAACCACCGCCGAAATACTTCTGGAGGATTACAGCGAAGATGCCATGTAGCGCAACTTGTGGGAGAGGTAAAATTTTGTTATGCCTCCGCCACCGAAGGTGGTGCCGGAGGCATCATGTTTTCGGGTTGTCCGTCCGTACGTCCGTACGTCCGTCCCGTTTGACCGTTATCACAATATCTCAAGAACCATTTAAGATTTAAACTTAAGACTCGGGAATAGTATTTATCACCATAGGAAGACGATCTGATTAGATTTTGGAGTACGTAGGTCAAAGGTCACAGGTCACAGAGGTCAACTTATGAAATTCCTTGTATTGAGTTTGTTAGCGCGATATCTCAAGAACCATTTGAGATTTAAACTTCAAACTTAAGGATAGTATGTATCACCATAGGAAGACGATCTGATTAGATTTTGGAGCACGTATGTCAAAGGTCAAGGGTCACAGAGGTCAACTTATAAATTCCATACATTGAGATTGTTATCATGATATCTCAAGAACCACTGGAGATTTAAACTTCAAACTTAATGATAGTGTGTATCACCATAGGAAGACGATCTGATTAGATTTTGGAGCACGTAGGTCAAAGGTCAAGGGTCACAGAGGTCAACTTATGAAATTCCATACATTGAGATTGTTATCATAATATCTCAAGAACCACTGGAGATTTAAACTTCAAACTTAATGATAGTGTGTATCACCATAGGAAGACAATCTGATTAGATTTTGGAGCACGTAGGTCAAAGGTCAAGGGTCACAGAGGTCAACTTATGAAATTCCATACATTGAGATTGTTATCATGATATCTCAAGAACCACTGGAGATTTAAACTCCAAACTTGTTTAAATTGCTTTATGGCGGAGGCATCATTTTCGACTGCGCGCAGTCAAAATTCCATCTAGTTTTTTCATTTTATTCCCCTTTCCAAATGTGCTTCCTATTTCAGCCCGTACACCGTCCATCTTTGACAGTGATATGATTACTTCAGGGTCGTGTCTGCAAAGATGTTTATTTATTTACCACTTGTGAATTGGAACACCATGATCAGCTGCTTTTATAACATAATGAATATAAGGCACGGAGGGATCCAGCCGGCGGCAGGGCAGGGGAGGGGGCCCAATTCGTGATAGAATATTTAGCGGCGAAACAGCCAGCCGGTGAATAAGCAGAGGGGGGGGGGGGGGTAAGGAGCACTATTTTTTTTTTTTTTTTTTTTTTTTTTTGCTCCCGAAAATTTGAAAATCGCGCCGGCCGATAATTGCTCAGTGGAGGGGGGGGGGGGGGGGGGGGGGGGGGTGGTAGTGAGCACTATTTTTTGTTTGGCCTTCGAAAATCGTCCCCCCCCCCCCCCCCACCTCCCCCCCCCCCCCTCCCAAAAAAAAAAAAAAATATGAATTGTCATGACACAATTCATATCAAAAGCAGTCCTTTTCACGTGACGTTGCTAAAATACTTTTCTTTCTAGAAACGCAAGAAATGAGAAAGCTGACAAATTATTTTTACCTTCACCAGTACTTAAAGGGGAAGTCCAGACTGATGTTAAGTTGATTTTGATAGAAGCAGAATATTGAGAGAAACATGACAGTAAAAGTTTGAGCAAAAAGACGATTAAAAATGAGAAAGGTATAACTATTGAAGGTGCGATCAATCAAACACAAATAGATAACTCATTGACGTACTTTGCGAGGTCCCCTCCAATTTGCCCTGTATTAAAAACAAATATCAAGAAATGTATTATTTCCCTTCAGAAAATGTACAATCATACTTTTACTTTTATCATTGCAAATATGTTTTTATACCACCTCTGTATAAAACAAATCTATTCCGTCATAAGAAAAGGTAAGGTCATGAAATTGTCTGTACAGGGCAAATTGGAAAGAAGCTCGCAAGATACGTCACCGTGTTTCCATTTTGTGTTTCACTGATGACAACTTCAAACAATTCATAACTTGCCTATTTTCGTTACGGATATCGCTCAAATATAATGACTAATATGTATCTCTATTTTATCTGTTTTTATTCAAACCAACTTACCTTCAGGGTTAACTTCCCCTTCAACTTTTTCCTTATCAATATGACATCGTCATGATGACCAATTTACGAATCGTAATGTTGGTTAATTATATACTTATACTCTTTCAGGTATCATTAGGGACTATGCGTACTGCGTTGATGCGGAAGAAGAACAGGTGGACGATACTAAATGTGATACAGAAACCAAGCCTGACGTCATCGCTAAAGAGTGCGCGGGAAAACCATGCGAGCCCAGGTAACAATTGAGATATTATGAGATTTTGAGATAAACACTATATCCTTTGCATTACCAGTTAGTCGTACACTAAATCTAAATGTGACGGTAGATCCGTATACTTTGCCTTCTGTTTACGCCTTTGAATTTTTGTTTGCTCAAAATGCAAGTAATAATTTATCGTATAATTTGCCTGGGGTTATTTTGTGTAAACATCTATTGCTTCTGTCTTGAATTAGCTTTGTACATGTTGCAGAAATAATGCAAATATTGCACTATAGCTTTTAAGAATTATTGAATAGGATAATAAGTATTAGGTCTTTATTTTGGATTTAGAGTCGTATTTACTTAAAATTTCAGAACTGATGCGGTGTTTATTTAAAAAGATATATGCTTTATAATAATAATAATAATAGCTAGTTCTTATATAGCGCTTTTCAGGACCGAAGGCCCTATCAAAGCGCTTTACAGATATATATTATAGTTCAAGACAGGCTTAATTGTACTCATTGGATAAATATTTCTAAGTTTTAACTCTTACGTTTAAAAGATGGCAAATTCGTGTCCATGCTATCGTATCAATTTTTTGGTAAACTTGTATTTAGGAGTTATGTTTTATTTCTGTTTTTGTATTCTTTCTTAAAGTTTATATTTCTATAGATTCATGTTTGATTTAATTTTTGTATTTATTTTTGTATTGTTAAGACATTGCCCCTTGGAAGAATATTCGTTATTGAAACCGGCTACCCTGTTTAAAGCAGACTAAAGTAAATAGATAACTAAATAAAATCCCTTTTTTGTATAAATTCTGTGGGGCAGATGGGAGGCCGGGAGTTGGAGCAATTGTCTTGGGGACTGTGATGCCAGCTACCGCTTCCGTACGGTCCATTGCTGGCTCCTGATGGGCCAGGGTCTCGATTCATCGGTACCCAATGAGCGATGCAACCAAACCACCAAACCAGACATTACCGTGCCGTGTGATGAGAATGACTGCGGACCGCAGTGGATTGTTTCCGAGTGGTCTCGGGTGAGAAAAGTGTCAATATACTTCTTTTTCTTTTTTTTTTTTTTTAAATTTGTACTTTTGCTTTACTTCAATTTTGTACTTTTGCTTTTAACTCCGCGCAAGTGTGTTTCTAGTAGGGGTAAGGGGATATGGAATTTCTTCCCCATGAAGAAAAAAAATTGCCGGCAAATTATCGATATTATATAGAGCCTTGTCAAAACGCATTGTCTTCTTCTTGTTCAAATGCTTTAGAACCTCTTTTTTGCGAATTTTAAGGATTGTTCAAGGTTTTGTCTCCTGTACAGATATGTGAATCTATATGACTGCTATTTACAATCGTTTTAGATGATAGCTAATGGTATGTGGGAAAACACGACACCCCTATTCAAAATGATTTCGTGGTCTATCGTCTACCGTAGCTAAGTCCCTCTTTTTCAAACGAGATACTTTGGCTTTGAATCCCTCTGTGGGCATTGTGTCTTATTCAATTTTTATACAGACTCTCTTAATCCAGGTCTAGTAAGTGGGTACCTGATAGATTTTTAATTAAGATGAAAAGTTACATCACCAAAAGCAGCCCATCAACCATTTTCGACCCGGGTTTTTAATTAAATACCTGAGTTGAGATAGAGAAGAAAAAAATATGTTTACATGGAATGAAATGTTAGGTTCATGCCTAGGGCATGGTAATAGTTTTGACTGTGATGTTTTGCTTGTGTCCGTCAGTGTTCTGAGACCTGCGGACAAGGTAGAGAAACCCGTCGGGTGACGTGCTCCGATGGGAACCGATGTGACGCAACAAATCGACCCGAGTCTGAACGATCGTGTATCATTACCCCATGCGTCTGGACTACTTCATCGTGGAGCCCGGTAAGTCATGATCTGCCTTTCTTTATGCTAATCGTCATCTTTTTTCGATACAAATTTGTATTTTGCAATAAAATGACATTTAATAATTAACAGTACAGCAACTGTCCTAAAAAATTATATGAAAATTGTATATCTTTAAAGTTAGTTGCATGTGAGAAAACAAGTTAAACTATCTGTACCATTTTAATATTTTTCATTTGACAATACAAATTAGATCTATTATAACTCCACATAACAAACATCCTCAAAATTATAATTAATTGTTTACTTCTTCTACCATCGTTACTGTAAGACTAAGCAATTCATAATGAACAGTCAATGTTTTTGTAATGTGTTTTTAAAGGGGAGAATAATTGATTTTATTTGATAAAAGATGTTTAATATTGTATACGGACAACAGGTCCGTAAACTCCACCCTTGACGACAAAAGGCCTCTGCCGCCTTTATATGATAAGGACTGCATATTGTCAAGGAACAAGTGATTAAATCGTCAACGTTTGAATTTGTTTTTCAATAATTATGTTCTTCTAGTGAATTAATTAATGTTCATAACTCTAGACACAAGAAAGAAGGTATCAAAGAAACGTTCATGATACTATCATCTTTCTCGTCTATTGTCTCGAATCAGTGCACAGGTACATGTGAAGTGCAGTCTCGTCGTGTGTTCTGCATTGCGGAGTCCACTAACAGTCGAGTGCAGGATAGCTCCTGTGCTGGTATCGAGGTGCCCCTCTCCATCCAGATCTGCGGCGGGAGCCCCTGCCCTTCGAAGTGGGTGCCTCAAACATGGGGACAGGTAGGACTCGTGAACTCCTAGGCCCGAATTCACAAAGCAAGGTTTGAGCTCAAACCTTCTTTTGTTCCGCCAAACCTCCTTTTGTTATTTACAAACCAGGTTTGTAAATAACAAAAGGAGGTTTGGCGAAACAAAAAGAGGTTTGAGCTCAAACCTTGCTTTGTGAATTCGGGCCCTAGAGTTTCTAATTATTTACAGTTTGAGATACTTTTGTATTAAATTTAGGATAGGATGCACCCCCCCCCCCCCCCCTCCCCAAACACATTGTATTCCATGATGTATGTTCTGCATTCAAAGATAATCAATTTCTTTCTTGAAATTTGTGTGACCTTTCGTCTTGGACTGCATTTTATCTTCCAAATGGTTTCCTCCAGTTCCATAGAGTTTATTTTAAATTAAAAAACACCCCATTTTCAAGCTTCTCTTTTGGTACGCTCTATCTCCCTTCCAATTACTCTCTCTCTCTCTCTCTCTCTCTCTCTCCCTCCCTCCCTCTCTCCCTCCCTCCCTCTCTCGCTCTCTCTCTCGCTTTGCATCTATGTGTTGCTCGCACCCTCTCTCCCTTACTTCACAACACAAGTTTAAGACCTGGGCCCTGTCTTACAAAGAGTTGATATCAATCGTTACTTATGTGCGATTGATATCAATCGTAACTATGTACATAAGATATAGGAGACTGCAAACTTGCGATTGATTGGAGGACTTACGATTGATTTGGATCGATCGTAACTCTTTGTAAGACGGGGCCCAGGGCAGCTTCTCACGAAATCGTCGGAACCAAATTGGCCGACATCAGACTGACAAATATATTTTAAAATGTACAGGTGTTTCTGTTTGATGTCGGCGAACGTGCACTTGTTTTTTTTTCTTTTTTTCATAACGATTTTTTTAATGATTGTTAATATTACTAAAATATGAAGCCTTTCCCTCTTTCACTATCATTCTTCCTTTACCTCTCTTTCCCCTTTTTTTGTATGTCACTATTATGGTCTGTTGTTTTTCAAAGGATAATCTTATATTATTGGTTTAATATGCTTTCTACTTTAGTTGAGTTTGAATGGTTTTCTACTCTTACTATTTCACAAGTTTTCACACATACATACACAAAAACAACACAAAAGTGCTTTTGATTTAAGTATAGGATATCCAGATTTATTTACAAGGATATAATTGAGTATTTGTCGTTGTTTAAACAAATATATGTAGGAAGTTCAATTGTTAGAATCCATTTTGAAGGCGACCCCAGCAATGATTTCATCTAGAAAAGTTGTAGCAATTATGAAATCACTTTCGATTGTTTGGTCTCTACCATTGATGAGTCCATATTCATCTTTGGTGAGGGAGAGATCAATTATGACGTTACTGCTGTCGTCATCGAAAAGATCATGAGTGTAATTAGTCAAATCGCTGACTGTAGTAAACGTGTCGTCTTCGTCTTCATTGTCAGTTGTAATGCTGGAGACGTCTGTAAAACTATCATTGTCCATTTCATCCATGAATCTGATCAAGCTAGAAGTAGTGTCAGATAAGAGTGAAGCGTTATCATCTTCGTTATGAATTTCTATCGACACTTCGTGACGGAGCTGACAGCAGTCGGATGTGATTCTTCTTCCATCGTCGTTTTCATCGACTACGTCGTTGTTTTCGATGTCGTTTCGCTTAGAAGCGGAGACTGGGTAATACGTGCTGCTTGGGAAGCCCTCTTCCGAACTCCACAATGATGTCGAGTCACTGAATGTATCGTTGAAATTCCATGTAGTAGAGTGGAACTGTGTTTGAACGAAGAAAAAGAATTATTGAGATGAGAGCTGAAATTATTTTGCAATAGCTGAAAAATTGCATACAGTGAGGCAGACAAAATAATACGGAGAGAGAATATTGTATATTCGGAGAGAGAAGATCGAAATTAAAAAATGTATAAAGAAAATGTAATGAAACCAGGAGAACGAAAGGCGTGTGGGAGCAAAATAAAGATTGAATTCCTACCATGATTGTACAAAATGTATTAATAATATCGTGGTTAAATAGAATTTCGAAGAATACGACGACTGTGGTTCAAATTGAATTCTTACCATTTTGAGGGCTTCTACTGTCAAAGCATTACTTCGGTTGGCAGAACTGTCATCCTCGGTGGCTGGAAATAAATTAAAAAAATATATTCTCATAACTTTCAGAATTATTATAAGAAAAAATGATAGAAAGTGGCGCAACAAAGATAAACATTGAATGATTGTTAAAAGAGTACCACGCTATGTTCGACGCAATTTGGGGTTTGGTATTAAACTACAGAGAAAATATATCTGTCTTAGATAAAAGATACTATTCAGATGTGAACAGTGTGTTTATGTGTATGTAAGGTTTATATGACTATTGGGAGAGGTTAAGGAAAATATTGCTACCTGAAGAGAGACAACACATTCTCCTCATACTCTTTCCCATTCTCTTTCGAAGTCGGGCGAAAAATCGTCGCTTACGCGAAGATCGGCGAGCCATTTCTCTTTGTGATATAAAGACAGGAGCAGAACAACGTCTTTATTGCAAGGAGAATTCATAAAGAATGAAACTCTATTAGGTATTGCGTTACTAATGTAAACATAAAAAATGCGCATATCATTGTTACGTATGATTATTGGAGTAGGATTTTAGTAACGCGTTCCTGATTGGTCAGAAGTTTCTACTCAAACGCACTGGTGCTGACTATACATTATTACGTAGGTCAGTGCGCGTAAATATGTGAGAGGGCTTTCGCTATAGGTTGAAGTAAATACACGCGATGACCTCACAAGGAAATTGTGTAGGTTTAGTCCCTTATAAACTGCCAATAGGCAGTGGCGGCAGGCAGGGGCAGAGGTGGCACGAGCCCCGGGCGGCCTTTGGATGGATGAAAAAACCCGCAAAATGACAGGTGCCTAAACGGAAAAGAGAGAAAGAAAAGGGGAGAAAGGAACACATGATCATTATGGTATACAGGATTATATGCGTCCCTATTACGTAGGGTAAACCGCACCAGAAATTAGATTTTTGTGGGTTTACAATTCAAAAGTTTTCTCAAACATAGTGGCTTCACTCCCTCGCATAATTTTGTTACCTAGGGTCTCGTTATTATTATTTTTTTAGTATACCGTACTATCTTGTTGTTGTTATAATATTGTATATCTAGTTGTTATGCTCAACATTACAATTATAAGGTTCATCAGCCTGAAGATAAATACCCCCCCCCCCCCCCCCCTGAATATAGGTTAAAGCATATTTGTAAGCGCTTTCCATAAGTCATCATTTTAAAGAAATCTTAACTTTCGGTTACCGTACTTAAATCCTCGATAATATCTCTCCTTGGTTTACGTTAATTTTCCACCTCCCATATTGATAAAGCATTGAAGCCATTTATCAATGTCCACAATTCTAAATTATACCACTCGATCGAAGTGCTCCGTTGAAAAAAAAGTAGGTAAAATGCATGAAAAATACCTTTTGTAGAGTAAAAAGCAACAACAACAAAAATACCGCTCCGACGTTTTCCTCCCTCCGGACCGGGGGGGGGGGGGGGTCGCAATTACAGTGTTTGCTGGGGTGTCATTTTTTTATTTTTTTTTGCATAGGTGTTTATTCATATCTCTCATAACGAAAATTGTACATAATTTATAACATGGTAACATGGTAACCAAAATAATCTTCACATAGGTCTAAATAAATTTGCAAGTGAACTTTAACATTTACATACAAGGTTACAAATAAAGTTATACATTTACAGATGGATACAATTCACATTAACAAAATTATATTTTCACATTTAAAAAAAAATTGCAAATAAAGTTTGTACTATTTTCTCGACCAGTTTGCTCATAAATATAAATTTACTTCTTTTCTTTTCCACAATACTTTGTTTTCCTCTTAAATTTCCTTCAGAGAGAGAAAAAAAAGAAGGGTTATGATTAAAAAACAAATCAAATTAAAAAAAAAAAAGAGCTGGAGAACACCTACTACCCTCCCCCCCCCCCCCCCCCCCCCCCCCCCGCCCCACACAACATTTAAACACATAACAAGTACAACAGTATACAAAACACACACCAACGTAGAACGAACAAACAAACAAAAAAGAAAAGAAAAAGAGAAGAAGAGAAAAGAAAAGGAAAAAAAGGGGGGAAAAAAGAAAATATAAAGCAAGGGTAGAGAAGAGAGGAGAGTCTTGAAGTTGTATATTTAGGAAATTAAAAACAGAAAACATTTAATCTAAACTTTCCAAGGCTTCCCATTTCCTTCAATGAATTGAAAGGGTATTCTTCATTTCTATTTTCCAATAATCTATATTCTATCTCTTTTGCTTTTGGAGGGTTTCCCTTCTCTCTACTGTGGAAAATCATAAATTTAATCAAAATCAAAATGTGGTTCAATAATTGCTCTGTTTATAAAGTATTGTCATCTATGCCTATATGAATTTCTTTCCAGGATAATTTCTTCAGAATTGGTAAATTAAGCCTATCTGCACATCCCCCCATACTTCTTTCATTTGATTTCATTCAAAGAATACATGTTGATAGGTTTCTTCAAAAAATGTGCAAAATGAGCACAACCCATTTTCATGAAACCTGAATCTATGTAAATGATGATTTGTATATAAAATATTATGCAACAGGTTGAACTGAAATTCTCGCAATTTACTACTTAGATACACATCCTTGGTTGAACATATATCTTTTCTACTTCTTTTCTTGAAATATTATAAAGTGACATTAAATTGCCGCCTGCTGAGTTTGTTTCTACATTTTTCTTAATTTGACTCTTATATACCATTTTTGCAGTTAAATCTTCAAATGTAAACAGTTTCTTTGAAAAAATAAATTCTAAACTAAAGCCAGTGTGAATTGACTTTATTAAAGGCTGAACATTTTGTTTCCATTCATAAGGGGCTACTTTATGAATTTTGTTTACTTTATCAATTTCCACTCTACTCAAACCTAACATTATAAAAATGAGCTTCAGGTTTCAATTCTCCATTTCATCACAAATGTGATGGAGTCGTTATATTTATTTATTTTTAACAAAAGTTCCTCAAATAAGGTTTGACCTTCTAGTTGAATAAAATTATTATAATACAATATTACCTAGATATTACCAAGATACGCCATTACCAAAAGGTACTTCGATATTTATGAGGAAAAATGTGTGTGATTTGAATTTGGTATGTTAACTTGTTTATACTAGGGTCTATAATAATACCATTCCTCCCTCAATATTCCCATCCTCGCTTTGTATTTTCTCTCTTTCTCTCTCTTACTTTCTCCCCCTCTCTCTCTTTTGTTCTCTCTCTCTCTCTCTCTCGTACCCTCTCTCTCTCTCTCTATTTCTATCTCACTGTCTTTTGAACTCTCCCGTGTGTTATCGTATGTTTGTCAGAGTATTGTACTGCTAGAAAGGAAGAAAAAATACACGGTTACGTTTTTAATTTGATTGATAACTAATAAATATCCAGCTTTATTTACAAGAAAACAGATGGTGTTTGCGGTTGTAGAGAAGTGATATGTTCAACATGTAGAATCCAGTTTGAAGGCGACCTCAGCAATGATTTCATCTAGAAAAGTTGTTGCAATGATGAAATCACTTTCGATTGTTTGGTCTTTACCATTGATAAGTCCGTATTCATCTTCGGTCAGGGAGAAATCAAGTATGACGTCACTGATGTCGTCATCAAAAAGATCATGAGTGTAGTTTGTCAAATCGGTGACTGTCGTCAACGTGTCGTCATCGTCTTCATTGTCGGTTGTAATGTTAGAGACGTCTGTGAAACTATCATCGTCCATGAATCTGATCAAACTAGAAGTAGTGTCAGATAACAATGAATCGTTATCATCTTCGTTATGAATCTCTATCAAAACTTCCGGACGGAGCTGACTGCAGTCGTTGTTGTCGCTGTCATTTTGCGAAGCGGAGACAGGGTAATACGTGCTGCTTGGGAAGCCCTCTTCCGAACTCCACAATGATGTCGAGTCACTGAATGTATCGTTGACATTACATGTAGTAGAGTGGAACTGTGTTTGGATGAAGAAAAGGAATGATCTTAAATAGAGTTGTGGATCGAGGAGAAATAACTTATACATGATACAGAAGTACATACAGAAAGGCAAACAAACCAATATACGGAAAGAGGACATCGTTTTGGACAAAAGGGAAATTTAATAAAAGCCAGAAGAAACAAAGGGGTAGGAAAAATAAAATAAAGATACGATTCTAGATATGGTTGTCTTTTTGATTTTATCATATCTTGTCTGAATAATTTTGAAGAATATTGAAGAATAGGGTTTTAATAGAATTCTTACCATTTTGAGGGCTTCTGCTGTCAAAACATTACTTCGGTTGGCAGTGTTGTCATCCTTAGTGGCTGTAATTAGATAAATACCACACAAAAATCGTATATTTTAAAAGTTGTTATAGAAAATAATGATAAAAAGTGGCACAATATATTTGAAAATCGAATGATGGTTTTTTAAAAAGTGCCACGCTATTTTCGGTCCATGTTCGATGAAGGTTGGGAGTGTGGTAACTGCTAAAACTGCTTTGGTAAAAAAAGATACTATTCAAATTTGAATAGTGTGGAATCATTTTTCATATGGTTATATGACTATTATATAGGGGAGCTGTAGGAGAAAATTCCTACCTGAAAAGAGACAACACAGTCTCCTCATATTCTTTCCCATTCTCTTTCGAAGTCGGGCGAAAAATCGTCGCTTACGCGAAGATCTCTTTGAGATATAATGACAGGAGCAGAGCAAATGTCTTTATTGCAAGGAGAATTCATAAAGAATGAAACTCTTGAAGGTTATGCGTTACTAATGTAAACACAACACTTGCGCATTTCATTGTTACGTATGATTATTGAAGTGGGATTTTAGTAACGCGTTCCTGATAGGTCAAAAGTTTATACGAAAGCGACCTCAATATTATCATCGATTGTTACGTAGTCAATGCGCGCAGCATTTGGTTTGGGATTTCTGATTGGTTAAATGACGCAGAGCGGCAACGGCACAATAAATGTAGGGCAGTTAACAGCTAAATTAATATCTTTGTATATTTTATGTGTTTTTGTGTGTGTTTGTCGTAATTCAAGGATAAAAGATGGATTGGCAGAAATAGGGCCTTTCAGACCGTTGGCTTTTGCCGTAAACATAAGCAATGTAATAACAGACTAAATCTTATAATGTGTAGAATATTTTTAAAAATTATTAAATCAATTGTTAGAAGGTTGGGTGATAAGGGTGGGGTCGTATTCGGTAACATAAGGGATGGGAGATGATATTGGAATAGATTTTTGTCTTTTGTGTTTGTTAAGTCTAGTTCAAGTACAATTTATTTTCACTATGCCTTACTCTTTTTTTATACTATTACTTATTATATTATCATGATGTATATATTGGACTCCATGGATGAAGAGAGCCATTAGGTTAATGGCTCTGAAATGGACTATCCAACCGTTTTATCATTCTATTATTGTTATATTGAGTTATTGTTTTTTATGATGATTTTCGGTAATAAAACGAACAAACACATAATACCTGTATCCACCTCTCAAACACATTCCCTGTCTTGCCTACCTCAGTGCCAGGGCGACTGTCAGAACTCATTCCATAGACGAGCAGTGGTGTGTCAAGGCATCAGTCGATCCGCTCAGCTCATCATCTACCCAGACTCCTCCTGTTCGCTGAACCCGCCAGTCAAGAGGTTGCGGTGTGTAATGCCTAACTGCCAGGAGCAGCGAAGAAGCGCCGCCGATTGGATGTCGTCAGCCTGGAAACCGGTGAGTTGTTTGGAGGATTTTTGCTCTTCCAACGTGATTCTTTTGACCACCGTCATTACCACTATCATCACCTCATTATCACTATCATCCCCTCATTATCACTATCATCACCACATTATCACTATCATCACCTCATTATCACTATCATCACCTCATTATCACTATCATCACCTCATTATCACTATCATCACCACATTATCACTATCATCACCTCATTATCACTATCATCACCTCATCATCACTATCATCACCTCATTATCACTATCATCACCTCATTATCACTATCATCACCTCATTATCACTATCATCACCTCATTACCACTATCATCACCTCATTATCACTATCATCACCTCATTATCACTATCATCACCTCATTACCACTATCATCACCTCATTACCACTATCATCACCTCATCACTTTCAACGTCACTATCAAGCCATCATCACGAACGACCGAGTAACCATCATCATCATCATCATATTACCACCATCATCATTCCTCACCTCCATTAGCATCACTATCGCTATCATCATCCTTAGGACCACTATATTCATTACATAATATCTTTATCGTCACAGCACATCACTGATCATCACCGATACCCGCATTGTCTTTCTTTTTTTTATTTTCGTCCTGACTTTTTCATCATGCTCCTTTCTATCTCCTTCTTTTACTGAATTGAAAAATGTTATATGACCAACATATTTTGTCATCATCATTATCATGTCATCATCAGCATCATCATAAGTCGTTAACCTGTGCAAAATAAATTAAGTATGCACAAACAAAATTTATTACGCAAATTTATCACTAAGGACGGATTTGCTTTTTCATTCTATCTGGTCTTGTTACTCTTGCCTTCCGATTCCTGCCAGTGAATTTCTTTCTTTCCCCTCTAAGGAACTACAAATAGACTCCCTATTACGTGGCCCTACTCCTACCTTCTCATCCTTTTTTGTGTTTTCATCACAGGCATTTATCTTTTCCTTTCTTATCATCTGTTTTGTTTTTCTATCGTTCATTATACGCTTGTACAAAATGCCATTGGACCATCTTCAGCGTGTTTTCTGACTTGTGCGTGTTTGTTCCCATAGTCTCCGGACGCGCGGTTTCGATCGCCTTATTACGTACATACTTACCATTTTTTCGTTACTTGTATAATTCATTTGTTGTATTATATATTGTAATACTGTATGGTTTATATATGTCATTTCAATTTGTGGATATTTGAGTGGAAAAATAAATCAAATCAAACGAAATCATCATCAACAGCATCACTTTATTTGTTAATATCATCATCATCAACATCAATAGTGTTATAACCATTTACGCCTTCTTCATTATCACCGTCATCACTATTTACATCGTCATCACCATCATCTGTATCCTCATCGTCAGCATTACACATGTATGTGAAATCGGACACTATTGACATCAACGTATTTATTAACACTGACGTCGAAGTTATGTCAGGTATGTTGGAATAACATTAGACAGACAGAACTAAAGAAATTGATGGTCTTTATGAGGAAGAAAGGCATTGTTTTACAGAATCCAAAGATTACGTAACCGATCATCATCCTCTTAATGGTGTTCCTTATCATTCCAGTGTTCTGTTACATGCGGTAAAGGGATGCAGACTCGCGAGGTGCGCTGTCTAATCGGTGGACGGCTCAGTGATCACTGTGATGCAAGCTCGAGGCCGACGTCTAACCGGGAATGTTTCAAACCGGCATGCAACACTGTCCCCGGAAATACAGGTAAATGACGATGAAGGCAAAGCCTCAGTGGCGGAACCAGGGGCCCGTTTCTCGAAACCGTCATCAGTCTAACTTCTTGGACAACCCATTGAAACGTGTGTTATGATATTAACTCGCGTATCTATGGGATGTCTACGAACTTAGACTTATGACGGTTTCGAGAAACGGGCCCCAGGATTCTCTGACGGGGGGGGGGGGGCACAAGCTAGAAAATTCTCTGACAAGATAAACGTCGTCACCTATTATTATTCTTTTCTCCCCCAGTGACGTAGCTAGGATACTCTGGCAGGGGGAGGGTACAAGTCCAAACATTTGGTGACAAGAAGAAACGTCGTCACTCTTCGTATTAGTCCTGATGCACAAAAGGCGTCATTTTGATTACATTATTACTTACCCTGTTCAATTCGGAATGCAATTATCCAGTGTTATCACTTCTACATGACGCTCAAACACCAAGAGCTAAACCAGCAAGTCCTACATCAACAAAAATAATAACACCCCATGTGCAAATGGATGCAATTTTTATGTTCAAATACAGGAATAAGCAACTGCCAGCTTCATTTGATTTTTTTTTCTTCATAATAAAACAATAATCATTCTTATTTACCTCGTATTTCTGAGAATGTTCATTTAACCTATCCGAAATTATTGTTTACACAAAAATCAATCAGACATCATGGCCCCAATTTATGGAACAGTTTATCTATAATAATTTAATCATGCTCGACACTTTATTCTTTTAAAGCGACACTCAAACGTCACATTAAATCATCATACAGAATCGTTACTCACTAAACTTCGTGTCTGAATTCGAATGAATTTTTAATGTATTATGGAATTATTAGTGTGTAGATGAATTGTGAATGGAAATTGTAAAGGCGTGTTCACTGATCACACAACATAACTCTCTTTTTAATTTAACTACGAGGAAACAAGGTTGCACTGGCAATAAAATACATGATAAAAAGTATTCCCTTTTCGTTATTTTATTGGGTACTGATTTGCAGACACAACACTTGCAAAGTGTAGTCATGCAAGCAAATAAATGATTCAGAATGAGAATCACATTAATGAGGATCGTGGATATTGCACGGAGTTTAAATGGTCATGTATGAGATGGACATGAATAAATCAAACGCGATGAATAAATAGAGCTTACGACAATGGTAGAAATGACGTCGAAAGTCCATGAAGATGATGACGGATGAAACGAAGAAAGGGGCTCACGCGATGATTGTGCGGAGGCTTGATGATGGAAACGCGACTTCGTTGACGTGGCTGAAGAGCCGAGAAGAACGCGATGTCGATGCCGACGCTCATGATGATGATGATGAATGTAGCGCTCGGACGAGAAGAAAAGAGAAGAGAAGAGATGTGGCGCTCGACGACGAGGCAGTGAGTCGCTCGATGTCGGAGGCCCAGGTTGAAATGTAGACATCAAACCGGTATAGTGGTGATCGTGAAGAGCAGTGAGTCGCTCGATGCTGGATCGATGAGCCGGACTTTGTGAAAGTGAAATCATCAGAGTTGCAGTGAGTTGGACTCGTTGATGAAAGTTCAGACGAGCTACAGTGATTCGAGCTCGTGTGTGAAAAGAGCTACCGGAACGAAGAAGCTAGCAGCTCCCAGCGGAGAATCAGGAGCCATGTCGGTTCCTGATTTAAGCGTTCCACTGCAAGACTGCCAGTCCTCTAAAGACGGCAGGATAAAGAGATGATGTGCCATACAAGAGGTGATAGGCACGGAAGAGAATTCTCCAATTGAAATGCAGGAGGTTAGAATTGTAGAAGGATTTGCTCCTTGTGTATGCATGAAGCAAATTGTAGAAGTAGAGTTGACATTCTCATATTGACGTGTTGCTTCGACGAAGAACTATGAGAAGTGTAGTAGTGAAGAAAGTTAGAGAGAAGATGTTGTTTTCATCCTTCTTGGGAGGCAGGATAAAACAAAGAGAGTTCTGTACCAATTTCTGGGAAGGGAGAATGAGTCACTGGTGATAACTGCGGTGTCCAGGGCCATTACGCCATTAAGCTGACACTTGTTGACACATATAGGGTGGCAGTGCCTGGCATAATGTCGGAGGGCAATGTCCTCCCAAATTGGGTTTGCAAAGTGACAAATAAAATTGAGAAATAAAGAAAGATGAAATGAGGAAAATACTACAGTATTAAATCTTAAAATACACTAGTATTGGATTATAAACATTCCGTACCAGAATCCCATACGCACTTGCACTGCACCCACTTGATCAATGTTATCTGATTATCCGACTCTCAGAGCGACAATGCTTTGAATAAAATGGCGCGCACAAGAATTAATCTTGCTATTATACTCGATCGCAATTTTTTTCTCAAAAAATCAGCTCGGGGGAGGGGCAGATTCAATACCCAACGACACATTCCATGTAAATCGTGTTCGCATTACGTAAAACGCCATTCTCGTGTTCGCGGATGACGCATATAAAGGCTGTCGAAATTGCCATAGGTTAATTTTTTGAAAGTATTTGCGATCGTGTGATTCATGATTAAATAACGCAATTGAAATAAATTGAGGCCTGAATCTTACGTGCCTTCTTCGAAAAAGATGATGTAATTTTTTTAACTATTTGCCTCCTTTCTGTTCTTTTTCTTTAGCCCGGGAAAACTGCCAAGACAGTAAGAGCGCAGACTGTGACCTTATTGTTCAGGCGAATCTCTGTCGGTTTGCCCGATATAGCAAGACGTGCTGCAGGTCGTGCCGGAACGTCGCCGGACGATCAGGGTCTCGAAGTCAAAAGTGACCCAGACACTGACATCATCATCGTGATCATTGACGGTTTCGTCGGACTTTTTTCGATGTTGTCGACTGGCAGCCAACCTTGATCGATGAAAAGGAATCGAAGGTTGATGACCGTCGTGAACTTGTTGGATATTAATTATATAAAGTGAATTCGTGGTCGAATCGCTTGACGCTTGTGACGATCTCGCTCAAGAGAGACGGAACCACTGAATAGAAAGAATTGCAGCTAAGACATCTTACCAAACTCTACTTGTATGTTACCACATAATACATGTAGGCTACCTTGGCATTATAAACATTACGACGAACAAAAATTTGCAGTATTTCTTGCCATTTTTATACCCCTTACTGAAACGTAATTGTTCCTGTGAATGTCGATATAGTCAACAATTTTGTATAGTTCTACGAAGTTAGATAGAAGAAAATAGGAATCAGACCACACAAACCCTCTCCGTCATCATGCACCTGTTTATTTAAAAATTCGTTTTAAAAAAAGTTCCTCTTCTGAAGTTAGCGTCCCTATCATTCACCGATTCGCCAGAAACTCATCAAGTCTATTAATTCTTCAAGTTGTGCATCGATTTTATTCACCGGTTTGTGAATATGTGTATGACACTTCAGACGCTATTGGAGGTCTGACTCAAACGAGGGGAAATTACCGAATAGAAAGAAATTCAGCTAGGACATCTTTATCATTTTGAAAATCGCAAATAACGAAACGAGTATTTCTTGCCATACTCTCTTGCCATTTCCTTACTGAGATGTCATTATACTTTGAAACTTTTTTTAAAAGTAGGCTATGTCATGTCGTAGTGAGAATCTGGATCACAAGTTTGTTTCAATAAAATTGCACGCTAAATTCAACAATGCTAATTTGTAATTACATTCCCAATCTGTTTAAATTGTATTTGTCTCCAATATGCGCAGTGATATTGTTAAGTTTCCATCTCGTTAGGATCGCATCAGGTTTTTATTTTATTTTTACATTTAGTTCGCCTCTTCGTCATCCAACATTTCGTCTGATAAAGTTGTCTCAAATTAATGTACACCATATAATTTACAATTCCGTCATAGTGTGATGAACATCTCTGATTTATTTTCATAGATTAAGTCCAATCTGATGTCCTATGATGACATTTTTGACAAATCATGTAGAGCAATGATCGGCAAAATCATCCATGAGATCGCAGAATGAGTTCGTCATTGAAGTTTCTCTAATTACGTGTGGCAGAAGTGTGCCTAATTTCTGTCCGTGTCAACTTCTTCCTCTCATCAGTATCCAATGCCAGTATTTGAAATTAGTTTACTCATTGTATCTGAAAAGATTGGGTTTAGGATTCTGTTGCATGATAATTCCTTATTCTTTGTCACCATTTGCAATTTATTTGAACAAACATAAAAACACCCTTCTGTCAACCAATCACTTTTATAATGCCTCCTGTGACATCTGTTTCATCTTCTTTTTTATGATATAAATCATAGTATCCTTAACAAAAATCGAAACGTAATAACAATACCTTAAGTACCAAGTTTTCTGCAGTGTACATATAACGAAAGACCCGTCGATAGATGGCGCTGTTTTATATTATGACAGTCGTTGATTAAATGACTAGACGCCCGAGTCGTATTAGTTGTGACTCCGTCAACCAAGCTTCTTGCATACAGGCGGATAGACACAAATACGACAAATTAATTAACGAGTGTAATTTCACTGAAGAAACTTTTTTCCCTTTCCTAAAGGGATTGTGAAAAAATATACCCGCTCTTTTTACTGAGACACCCGTATGTGAAGTACTAATACTATTTAGCTGCCGATGGTGTGTTGGTGGTGAATTGTTTTTCCGAGAAGAACAAGAAATTGGATAGATATTTTAGTGTGTGCTGCATATATTAATAACAATGTGACTTTATCGAGATCATAATGCACTATAACTACTATTTTAATTGCGATAGGCAACTATTAATCACAAAAAGGGGTGTGAACATGCTTTTACAACTTTTTTATTTTGTATGATTTGTGTATATCGGCCTTATGTTCGAGTAAAACAGTACATGACGTCGACGACCCGGTTACAATGATCCAATTTTAAGTATGAGGGGCACAATTTTTTTGAAAAAAACATTGTAATACTATTATTTTTCTTTAATTAAATTGTAATTAAAATTTGTATTTGTCATAGATTAGTGGTTACACAGTAGTTAAAATAAGATAAAGATATATTTAGGACAGAAAGTATGAAGATATTAAAATGTATAAATGTATATATTTTTTACCGATTTGAAGTCCCTTTATAAGTAATCTTGTTATAAGGGGAAAACTTCTAGGCATTTTAGGAGTTGCATCGCTATATCATCTGCTATTCTACTTTGTTGGAGTCTTGCAGAAAGTCACAAAATTGCTTTGTTCTGACCAGTACTCTTCCTTATTTTACTTTTTCCAACTCTCGATTTGAGTAAGTAAGTTAGATGCATTGTACATAGATTTCTTGGAATTTTGGATTAATATGTCATTTTTGCTTCATTATTGGAACCAAATCTTTTGATGTAACGTGTATCACTTTCTTGAATAATTTATTGTATCTTTTTACCCTCATTAAGCTTAAGTTTTATGCTACATTATGTTTTTTTGTATAATTTATACTAAAATACATACCAGTGTCGTGATATTATTGTCCGTGACGTCACATGCCACATGATATATGATGTGATTAATATGGATTCCATCCAGAAAGGTGCCGTCAACCATTTCGTCGTTGGGGATTTCATGTTTCGTAGCTTAAGGTACATCAGTAAGGGTATATTCTCTTTTAATTCCCTTCCTTATATGTACACGCTTCACCGTCTAGTCAATTTTCCTTTCTCATCGGTACTTTTGTGGAGATTCTGTATTCTATCTATCTGCAAATCTTATTTTTCTCTCCACCTCTATCTCAACCCTCTCCAATATCTACCCCCCCCCCCTTCTTCATTCCCCTTCCATCTCTATCCCCCTTCCATCTCTATCTTCCACCCTTTCTCATGCTGTTCTCTTTCTCGTTTCTTCGTCTTCAAAGTTGCACGTTTCCACTACCCCCCCCCCCCCCCTTCACTCTCTCTCTCTCTCTCTCTCTTTCTTTGTCTCTTTCTTTGTCTCTTACCCTGAACCCATGTCTCTTATAAAGAGACAGTGCGCGCTCTTTTTCCATCTTCCTTCATTCTATCTCTCTCTCTCTCTCTCTCCCTCTCTCTCTCTCTCTCTCTCTCTGCCATATATTTAGTCTTTACTTTTCTGAACACGAATTTCGCATAAACATATTAAGTAATTTGAGTGAATTGCGATCTTTATCATGTTATGTTTTAATCACGTTTCTCCGATCAGAATACAATAATCTCAGCTATGTTACAGGCAAGTGAGAAAATGACAAAGAAATATTTCCTATGCACACAAGAAGTGATGAACTGAGTTATACAAAATAAAAACAACCATTATCTATTGCAGTTTATAACTAAATAAGACATCTGTTTTCACTATTTTTACAAAAATAGACAACGACTGAAAGAGTGTGAAAGTGTGGAATAAATGCACATAGAAAAGGGATTAGGATTATATCCAGCCTATTTACAAATGATATTTATGATAATCTACAAAATCAATGACTAATTAAGTTAAAATTGTTCTGCTTCTATAAATATACAAGTCCATGTATTATCGTAATTTCTTTGACTTTAACATATATATACACATTTTAAATCACAATTTCTTTAGCTTTAACATTACTATTATACTTTTTATTATTTTGAACTGTGTTTTCGCAAATGTATTTAGGCGTGTAAGATACTGATATTGTACATGAATTTATCTTTTTGACATTAAAAATGCTAATTGTTTATGTAAACGAAGCGTGTGTATTGCAAATCTACTTTTTAAATGTGATGCATGAGAGTGTAACACTGCCCTCAACGAATACATTTAGAAAACATTGTCATACATTGTACAGTAGTCGACGATATACATCATAATATCTTGAATAGAAGAATAGTATATATATATATATATTAGTCATGTCAGTACTACAATTATGGAAGTAGCAAATAATCTCCCAATTAATACATGTATGTTCTTAGTGTTTAGCACAACACAGTGTATGTAATAAGAACATTACTTGATCACAGGTTCCATCAATATAATATTCTGACCTATAATGCGCTAAAGATCAATCATTGTTTGCCAAGCTATGTACATAACAAATTTTAAAGTGACCACTCAAGACCAAGAAATCGTCGTATTGAAGGGTGTTGATCTATTACGTTATTACTGGACAGCAAACAAAACAAATATATGAAAATGGCTTCACCCGATCTATAAACAAAATAATTTCAGATATTCCTCTAGAATAATATCTGTTACGCTCTAGATTCATAATTATTCGCATATGCCTTGGCACTCGTATCACACGGCCACCAGACCTTGCTCTAGAATATTGAGTTTAATACCATTAACATTTATATTCATATATGCCTTTGTTTGCAAAGGGCTTTTTCATTTGCTAGTACCTGTGTATTCACTTTGTCAAATCGTATAAAGTTCGCAGCGTTTCGATATTAAAGGCTCTCATCCATTATGCAATCAAATGAGCATTTCACTTATATTTCCCTGTAAAATGTGTTTATGCAGTACATATCTGTTGGATGCTGCCTAAGAAATCATTTTAGTGATGGTATGAAAGGATGGTATCATTCCATTGATAATTCATTTCATCTCTGATAATCTCAAACATGTATTTCACTTTTAATGAACGAGAGCCCCGATGACTTTGGATGTTTACAATTCAACAATTATTGTTGCCACACCACAAGAGTAAACTTGAAAAAATTTATTTGGTCATGCTTCAACTAAATACAACCACATTGGTTGACAGTAACAAACCGTTTAGGCCTCTGTAATAAAAAAAAAAATTAAAAATACATGTACATGTACATGTACTATAATCATCAAAGTTATCAACATTGACACCAGCCAAAATTGCAATAACAATGGCAGTTAACCTTATCAATTTTGTGCAAATTGTTAATAAAGAGAAGGAATTAATTTTCAAAATTGGTAAAAACTGTCATAAATTTTAGATCCGATGAATTAATCTTACAATGGGATGTGGAGGTGTCGCGTAGAATCTGAATTAATAGAGTGCAACACCCTCTGCAAAACAGCGAACAATGTAATAAATATGTTGTTTTTTTCTTCTAATTCGATGGTAGATTAATTAGACCCAAATGTGCCCTTATGCAAAATGATCAATTCGTCGTTCAGTTTTTGTCTCTTTATGATTATGAATGACACGAAATAACTCATATAAACATCACACTTTTGATCACCGGTACCATGTTATCTCCTAATTACCTCATGCAGAAACTGTATGCGTGAGCAAAACCAATTTCAATCTACAAATGATTAATTCACCTTTGAATCCAAGGCACTCCCTAGCCGAAAATCATCATGAACTCACAAATTATTCAATGTAGTCAATAGCAAGCGTCAGTAAGCTTTTTTAATGGAATATTCATGTGCTCAACGTACGACATGAACCCCCTGGGAAGATCATAAAGATTGTAGGCAATATCGCCGTCATAATTATGTTATCAAAATATGCTTTGAAATTAATATACATCGATATCATATCATTAATCTGAGATGCGAATCTCATGAGATTACCATCACACAGGGCTCGCCGGGTGTTCGGAAGCTGATACGTTGATGATTCTCTTTGATAATGATTTTAAGTCATGTCAGAGTATGATCGAAAGGGGGGGGGGGAGGGGGCATGTATGATCACCCCCCCCCCCCCCCCCACCAAAATGATTATCTTTTATGTTTCTTTGTGCTAGCAAGATAATGATTGTATAGTTGGCCATATCAGAGCATCCAGGATCTGCTAATGGTCTGCATTACTCAATGGCTCAAAGAGCTTAGAACACAATTTAGATGTTTACCTGAAAAGTGTATTGGGAAAGGTACCATGCACGATGCATAGCCCATGATAATTAAAATACAACGTAATGCGAACCTATTCGATGGTTATCTTAAATGTGCATCCAAGAACCCACTACATGATGACCGCGTTCGTTCTCTACTTCACTCATAATTCATGCACTCTATTCGTGGTTTCGTCAACTCCACTGTGCGGGAAATCTTCTCGAGCGAGGTTAAGGGACGCATAAAGATGCATGTTACCATGACAACAACTAGCTTTGACGCTCGACGTCTCTCTCTTCTGCTTTAAAGAAAACGTTGAGTTATGGTCATGCGATTGCATTGTGAGGGAAAGTATGCGGAAGCAACGCTGTGAAGAGGTTGATTCTGTATCACATAATAGTTGGTATACAGTGTGAGGTTGTTTAATCAACAAAATAAGAATAAATCGACTCGGTCATGCTGAAGGTCACAAGTAATGCACACAGAAAAGTGTATATGGGACTACACACAGACATTTTGTTACACAATTTTCAGCTTTTTCTTGCTATATTTCAAATAATCATGAAGGGATTTGAAGAGTAATCCTTTTCAGGAGGCATTTCTCCAATGATATTCTTCCAAACTGACATCAAATGAAAGAGAAAGCTCAGAAATGATATATCACTTTTTTCCAGAACTCAACATTTTCTTTAAAATCTGAGATTGTACGTTGCCGGGGTCGCTGGCTTAGTAGAGCGGCGACGCCTGTGCCTGGCAATACCGACCACGACGTTAGAACCCGATGAATAACTAAGGATAGATAATGAATGGATAAAAGCATATCCCCTGCGTATTCGTATAATTTTCATACCAGTTATAAGCTCTTTGTGTGTATGGTTAGAGCCATTCATATACGTTGATCAGAAATTTACAAAATGGCGTCGTTAAAATCTTGGCTGCTTGAATTGAAGGAGATGATGATGATCCTTGCTTTCCCCGTTTCGAGCTGATGTCATGGGCAAGTAGATTGAGCATGAACACGAGGAAATCTGGAATTGAAACAGATAAGAAAAAAGAAAAGAGTGAAAATGAGTTTGCAAACAATGTATATGTATGCAATAATCAATCATTACACGATAGTTGTTTCATATTCTGCACACTGTTCATTTCAAAATTCTGATTGAATCAATTTAAGGTATTGGCAGCCATTGTAAAATGTGAACGGTTAACAACAGTATGGGTTAAAATATGAAAATACAGATACACAGACTAACAGAAACATACATGCATAATGCTTGCTATATTCCAGAGACTGTTGTGACATTAACATCTGGCATAAATCGATGAGATAGAATCTCTCCCATAAACATTATGGCACAGCTGTATATGCTTTATACACATGTCTGTTTGTACGTCTGTGTGTCTCTCTGTTTGTCGGTCTGTCCGGCAGGTCGTCAGAGCCTTGTCTTTCGTATCTCTGGTGTTTACGAGGGAAACGGGAAGGTTGATATTCAGAAAAGAGAGACCACACCGACCCCCCCCCCCCCCCCCTTTTTTTTCTCCGGCATAATTGTTACATAAAGTCGCGACGCGTTTCCATGCATCACAGAATAGTTGAAAAGGATGTTTCTAGATAATTGAAGGAAAAACATGTCTTGTTATGTGACCTGGTGACCCTTAGAAGGAATGTACTTAACTATGTAGACCTAGTATAATCGTGTTACCCCCATGACCAGCGTTATATCCAGCATAATGGCATTTAGTATAGTTAGGACACTTCAGCTACACATACTACGTCGGAGTATGATGCATGTTATTTTCATACAGATACACAAAATGTACTACTTGAAGATGATCATATATTTTGTTACCCCCGACAGATGTCACGACTAGATCCCTAACCCCCACCCCCAATAAATGAACTCCCTGGTGTGACCTTATTTAAACAGACAAATTTCTGACCGTGCCAGTCACGAACTTGTACAGTGCTTGTCAACATTTTATGGGCACTCACTGCAAAATACGAAATTGCGTTCTCTATATGATATGCAAACGCAATGAAAGATCAGTCAGCATGCAATTCGACATCATTTAAAACACGATCGCAAAGACTTTCGAGAAATCAAGTCAAAGGGAAAATACCGTGGTGCGTTGCCTATAAAAATCATATTCGGGTTATTCTATTTTCAAACTTATTTAATGATTTCATGAAACTACCAACTCCGATTTTTTTTTCTCCCTCTTTTGTTCCCTCTATTCTAAGTTTTGTTGGATATCTCAGTCGGCTTTCACCAGCCTACACGACCATGACACCCCTGGATGGACACAACGGGTGGGAATAACAGACCATCTGAAATAGCTCAAACTTGAGATTGAGACTAAAGTACAACGAACCCAAACTTCAAAATCGAATGAATTTTCAGTTGTACGTCTGATAATAATACCAAAACAACTCGTAAATTTGCACATGATCTGAAAGGGAGGACAAAACCAAAAGGAACAAGATTGACAGGGACAAAGACTGTGCTTGTGGTTATGATGATGATGATGGTACGTGATGATGATGATGATGATGATGACGATGATGATGATGACAATGATGATGATGATGATGATGATGATGATGGTACGTGATGATGATGATGGTGATGATGATGATGATGATGATGGTAATGGTGATGAATATACGTGATGACGATGATGATGATGACGATGGTACATGATGCTGATGATGACGATGATTAAGATGATGATGATGACGAAGATGATGATGATGATGATATGTGTTGACGATAATGATTATAATCATCATGATGATGATTGTGAAAGAGGATAGTGATGATAGTAGTCTCCATGCCTACCCTATTCAAATTTCCAAATTCAATAAAATCAGACACCAACATTGCCACCAAACACTTCACAAATTATATTTTCTACAAAGCAAGAACACGGTACTGTATAATAAAGTTTGAGCACTACCCATTTACTAATTTATACCCTGATTGCAATTACCTCGTCACCATGGTAACGATCCGATTTGAACTTAGCGTTCAATTTTCACGCATTTTATTGCCCTTCTCGCAGCAGGAATCTAATGAGTTAGGTAAATTGACCTTAGCCCTACTGAATAAATAGTACATTTTACCGAACAAGCTGTAATTGTATGATGACATTTGTACCCAAATAGCGTTCATTTACGCGTCTCGTTCGAAGTCTGATCTGAAATAAGCGGTTAATTTTGACAGATTATTCTCGCAACACGGATCTAATGAGTTCTATAAATTAACATTTGGCTCTCGTTATCAAATAAAACATTTTGTAGTTATATTGAGTTAAATTTAATTCGCTCAGTACATGTTCTCATTAACGCCACGGTCACCATCTGATCTGAACTTAGCAGTCTATTTTCACAGGTTTCCCCGTTCTCCCCGCAGCAGGGATCTAATGAGATCTGCAAATTGACCCCAGTCCTTCTGAATAAATAGACATTTTTCAACGAACACGTCACACGTCAGAGTTATATCTAATTAGGAATATACACCTGGGTTAGACGATATTCAATTCCTGAATCTTCCACAGAATCCATTTCAGTGTAGCTTATGTCACTGTCTTGATGATATAGGGCACCGACTAAAAGGTGGGTTTGTGAATTGCATGTTTTGCGTTCAACGGAATGGCTCGATTTTATATCATTAAACAAAAGTATCAATATCTTGAATTACATATCGAAACAATCCAATTCCACCCCACAAATCCAAAAACTCATTTTGTTTTTGTTTACTTCTTTCTCACATTCCGGCTATCCATAATGTATAATTAGTATTTATTTATTCTTTAACCGAAGAAAGCATTATCAGCATCACTGCAGTTACCCGAGCAATAGCCCAGCATTACCCTAGCAATTGTTAGGTGCAGTACTCATTTAAGTCTGGGTGGAGAGAGGCAAATGAGGATAAATGTCTTGCCAAAGGACTTCAGTGCCTGACTGAAATTCGAGCCTTCAACCGTTGAATTGAGGGACAAGTGCGACACCACCTAAGACAAAGGATTGAATCGAATATAATTGCGTTTAATTGAGTATATTGCGCTGTCATCTCTGAATCTATATGGCTATACAAACAAAAATCTATTAAAACAAATTGACAACAGATCATTGTGAATAACTAATGTTTATTGGTCAATCTTTGCCTATATAGATGACTTCAATGATATACATGTAAGGAACTGTATGAGGGGGGGGTGTACAACACAAAATTTGTCATCACCTATAAAAAATACTGGCATTTACGAGTCAGATTACGTTATAATCTGATTTTATATGTCTGTAAATACACGCGATAGTCAGAAGAATGCGGAAGGCTACTATTTAAACAGTGTATAGGTTTTGACTACCGATACAAGAAGGTACTTCTCCGATGTGACGCATGGGTGGAAACAAAGAATTAAGGGCACAGAGAGAGAGAGATGCTATTTAAGAAAGAAAGAAAGCGAAAAACAGCATATAAAGGGAAGGCAAGATGGGGTTAGAGAATATGAGAGACAAAGGACTGATGAGAGAGGGAGAGACAGATAGAGAGAAAGAGGGGGAAAGATGGAGAGAAATGAAGAGAGAGGTAGAGAAGCGATGAGACAGGGGAAAAGGACAGGGAGAAATGTAAGATAGATGTAGGAAAAAGGGGGAAGATAGACAGACTCAGAGAGATAGAGACAGAAATAGTAAAATAGAGTACAAAGATTGACTGAAATATGTGAATAAAAGGCACCAGAGGACGAAAGGAATAAAAAGAGTGGACTTTGTGAGATTAAAAATGGAAAGAAGTATAATTCTGTACAAAACCATCTTCGCAATCCTTATAATACGAGTGAAAATAAAGAAATACCAAGCTGGTCGCAGCGTTTAATTCTATCACAAAGAATTGGCATGCTTTCATTTTTTTTAAATGGATTAATCTATTTTCTCCCCTTGACTAGTACTAGTCCGCCTATAAATTCCCCAACATTATTACCCTATAACCACCGCCCCCACTCCAACGTATAGGCTAGCTCTATTTTAGTATTTAACCTTAAATATGTGGATGACGCGGCCAATACATTCCACGGGGGAGAAAATAACATAATAATCATATCAACGCACAAACAAAGAGTTATTACCCCGGGTGAATATACCACTGCCAAATCCAAACATATAGCGCAGGTGTCAAAGTATAATTCTGCATTCACTGAGTGCTGATTTTGGAACTGATATGATCTCGAAAAGGGCGCGTTTAAAAAGGTTTTGTACTTTCCAATATGTTATGGTTATTCATAAAGAAAAGAGAGTAGGGGAAATATGGGTCGACAGCTCACGGTCAGTGGACCCCTTCTGGATAGTGAAACAGAACAGAAAGAGAATAGTGAAACAAAATTTGCAAATTAAAGAAGCTATGTTTACAAGCGGAGCTTTTCTATAGCTTCTTTTATTTGCAAACGGTCTCTTACTCCCTGTTGTTGTACATTGCATTGTACATAGCAGCAGTGTATAGTCTTGACAATATTATACTGTATGTCTTTATGCATTTCTTGTGTTATTTTTTAAGTGGAATAAAAATTAAACTGAACTGAAGTCAGTGAAGTGAATGCTAGATGTTGTATGATTTCTCTATTTTCGCTTTCTAACATTGAATAATATAAAAGAAATGGTAATACATCTATATCTGCTCGTTATGGTCGTGTGATCAGCTTAATCGGTTGCCTTTTGTGAAAAGCAATAGCAGCTTCTTTTTTTAAAGATTACACGTTTATACATGTACGCGTCACAATGTAGTTATACATTATAGGACAAAAATAACCAAGTGCTCTGTAAGCAACACGCAATTTTCTATACGCACCACTGCTGTAGACATTATACATGTTTGGCCTGTATTGCAAGACATGAAACGAGACGTGAGATGAGTTTCAAAAATAGAATCTCAAGTCCCCATGCAGATTTCAATCACAGTATTCAAACATGACACTTTGAAAGAGGAAAGTAGTCTACAAAATGCTCATTTCAGGGGCGGAGGGCGAAGATCGTCAACAAGAGAGGACCGATGTTTTCCCTATTTTTGTCTTTTTCCCAGAATCACCATTTCGGGAACCCCGCCGGCCCTCCCCGGCCTTAAGTTTCTCCGGCAGCGGAACAGAATCATTTTCAATTCAATTCAATTCAAATTTATCGGTCCAAAAAGGAAATTCGTTGCGTTAACATGCATTATTCACAGAGAAAAATAAATAAGATACATGTGACATGATACATACAACCTAAAACGAGTATATAGAGAAAATAAACATATACCATTTTTTGTTTCGTATGTTTGTGTGTTTGTTAATTTTTCTTTAAAAAATAGTGGGCACGCGGCCATTTCGGCTCTAAAACAACCGTATCCATGTGCTTTTTGTTTGGTTTTCGTTTGCTTATTTGTTTCAGTTGTCTGGGTTCTTTTTATTTGCTTGTTTCGTATGTTTGTTGGTTTGTTGGTTTTCTAAAATAGAAGGCCCGCAGCCTTTCCAGTCTACCCTTATAGCCTATAAAAGCTTGAATCCGCCTAGGCATGTATATATGGATACATGTCTAGGCGTATAATGTTGCAACATCACTGTTGTATTTGTTGGCTCTTTCCTAACTTTTCCCCCATTTTATGCTGCCTCATATTCAAAAATCCATATTTCATTATTTGTAGGCGTTGCCAATTTGATGACTGATCACCTCAAGTATGTACACTTGATGCTTGAGAATCAAGCCGGAGAGTAAGATCACTGAATTCTTCGGATTAATCATTAACCAGACTATGAGATAAGTAAATAAGACGCCGCATTTGTTTTGAAATCGTTCACAATGCCATCTCGGTCATAGTACATCATGAAACGTGTTTCATAATATTTCAGCTGCCATGATGACAACCACTGTTTGTCCTTTGATATGAATAAAGCATATTCAATTAGAAAGGACTCTGTACCGGGCCCACGATAGGATGGTCTAACACAACGTTTGCTTTGTGATTCAAATGAAACATTATTGGAAGAGGTGATACAAAAGAATTCATTACAGAGAAGAAAATATGGGTTGACAGAGTCGAAGTTCACTTCGGTTTCAGTATCGTACTGCCACATTTGAACTACAATACAGTTTCTCCCCTATTGTTTTTGTTCTCTCTAGTATAAAGCTGAAAAAGTATAATATGCCTAAAAAATAACGTGATACCGGCAACACTTGAGTCCCAGTCACACATGCATACAACTGTAACTCAATCTATATATTATCCATATTGTGGCAATGGCGAAATACTCATCAAAATCAAAGGCTTGGGAAATTTAAGAATACTAAAGAAAAAAAATAATTAAAAAACAAAATGGATCTAATGAATATATTCTTTAAAAATTATACGTGTGGGTAATTTCGGTAATAATAATGATAGCTCACATTTATAATGCGCCTAATACTTTATTTCTAGGCGCGGAACATAGTGGTCATCGGATTCAGGCTTACTCGCACACAATGTATGCACATTCTTCACTCCCTGGGAGCATTCCAGCCAGGCGTCATTTTTACAAGCGCCATTGCTAATCAAACCACATTAGCTTTCGCATCCTACCGGGTACCCATTTTAACACCTGGGTGGAGAGTGGCAAATGTAGATACTTGACGTGCCAAAGGACATTAGTGCCGCGGCGGGACTTGAACCGCGGACCTTGCGGTCCACAGTCCGGTGACATATCCACTCGACAACGACACCTAAATAACACTGAGTGGGGAGAGCCTACTAGTATATGAGTTTAGTTACAGACTTATAATAAATTTATAGTCGATGTCAATTTTCATGGAGGTGGGGTCCGGGCTCTACATTAGGTCAAAGGTCAATGTTGTTATGAGCAATAAACATTCTAGTATGGCATGAGTCAGTTATTATATCACTTATTTAATCTCTAACGGTGATAATTAAACACGCATAATATGCACGGAATGCTTTATCTGATTACAGCACTGTAAATTGCACGTAGCCCTAAACACACTGGCATAATATCATTTGCATTGGAACCAAGGTGACGATAACTCTTTGGCATTTCACTATATTCCTGGTTTATCTCAAACGACGCCATAAAGGAAGATATTGATATACTGTACAGGGTGTATCAGTGACGCAATATGCGCTCAAACAATAGTCATTCAAGATGACTTACTATGGCCATATGCGAGGCAATACAGCAGACTTGTTCATTATTATCACAGAGAATTTAATAGAAGCACTAAGTTCGTATTAATAACTCAGCATTGTGTTCAATCGTGATACAACAATACGGGGTACTCAAATTGCTTTCGAAAGTGGATTGGCGGATAACAACTTGGTAGTGATCAGGGGCGTCGGTTTGGGTTATAGGGGAGTGGGGTACGTCTCCGGCCCTCCTTTTGTAATTAAGGTTCTGCTTGCGAGCACAAACGTTGGCACATGGACCTATAAAATACCTGTTTCTTAATAATCTCCCCTTAGCATTTTTATTTCATTTTCTTCTACAAACTGCTCCCTGAATACATAAGATCTGACATTTACAATACTCATTTGAAAAAGACAACGTTAAGCGGATCTGACACATTTTACTACGACCCCGATCTGTCGGTGCAAGGCAAACAACACGACTCGTCTATTCGAATAATAATGTGTCATCCTACAATAAATTCATTTCGTTCTAAAGTGAATGAGACATAAAGGAGGAGAGGATTTTCACCTACATCATGTTCAGAGCAATCGGCAACACAACTGTATTACATCACTCTTCGTCATGTTTATACGACCTTCCCCAGAGAAAACAATACCGTCTGTCTCGATTTCTGTCTAGAAGGCACATGTTATTATCAGACAAAAGGAAAGGCTATTTTGAGGTGTGACTGAGAATGAATGCTCCCTTTTTATCGTAGGAGGCTGGCTACATTTTTAGGTAAACAGTGACACGCTGTATACCTCATCTTCCAACACCCTGTTATAATGGAAGATGTGGGATGCGGTCATGTGGAAAATAAATCAAACGCAGGAATTACCTCATTTTTTATGAAGTGCCGGACTTTGATCCACCAAAACTACTTAGTTATTGTGAATTAATGCTATTGCTAAGCCTTTAATGAATATTTAGTTTCTTGTTCCGCCATTTGTTTTTATTTTTTGTGGGATTTTTCAATAGAAAAAAAAACAGTATATTTTCCCTAATTTCATATATTCAAACTCATTATATTTTTAGTACCGTGTAACCAACTTGTATACATATACCTGGTAGTGCGTTGAGAGGTAAAGTACATTGTATCAGTAGTAATAGTCGAGTTGTTGTTGTAGTTGTTGTTGTAGTTGTTGTAGTGGTGATGGTGGTAGTAATAAGTAGTCACTATGAACGTGACTGACAAAGAAAGCGGACAAAATATACAGTTCCTCAGGTAGACAAAGGAACATCCCTTCACTGCTATTATCTAAAAATGTGTAGAACAGGTGTCACATGCATATTCACCTTTTTACATAATAGCAGTGAAGGGATGTTCCTTTGTCTTCCTGAGGAACTGTATATTTTGTCCGCTTTCTTTGTCAGTCATATTCATAGTGAGTAGAGTTGTAGTAGTAGTAGCAGCATCAGAAGTAGTATAAGTATAAGTAGTAGTAGTAGTAGTAGTAGTAGTCGAGTAGTAGTTTACCGTTTCCAAGAAGATTAGAATATTTTTCCTTTAATACCTCTTTTCATGCAATGATTGTGACCATGTGGTTATTCTTGAATAATAATAAATGAATACAAATGTACATCTTCTCATAACTGTATTGCTCAAGCTCTGTGACTCTTTAGACTGATCAATGAAGTTAATAAGAAAATAACAATTTTATTGATCAAGAATAAACCATAATCTCATAATCATTTCATGAAAAGAGGTAAGGAAAACAAAATCATCAATTCCAAATGTCTGGCAATGGTGTAGTTAGGGGATACACGTTTGCTGGTGATGGTGATAATGAGGGGAAATTGTGATAAAAATTGCATTATCGGTACAAGTGATACTGAATCACTGGAAAACAGATACAGATTATACAGCCCTCAGTTAGTCACAACAATCTAGTACATTTATTGAAAGAATTTTCGAGGAATCGACTTCATGGCAAGTTCAACATAGTATATCCCATTAGGTAACTAATACGAAACGTTCATGTTTGTACATAGAACATGTCACACAAGGCTATCGAAATTGCCCAAGGTTGATTTTTAGAAAGCCTTTGCGATTGTGCAAAAAAAGAAAATCAAATACAAATCGCCTCACTAACCTTGTGACGAATGTCCTGAACACCCACGCCCCTCAATGCATCCATCGGAGCAACGGACAGCAGCATCCCATCATCAGCATCTCATCTGAAATCTGCATGGATGAAGATGTCGGTCACCATGACAACGGCTAGGCAGCATCATGATCTCGTATCAGCAGGAGAAGCCGTGGGTGTGACAAGATGCACACGGTCACATGCTGTGCGCTGATGAAGACCCGCAGTAGGAATGGACAGACATGCAATGTTACTCCTTGTCAAATGGCGTTTAGTTACAGTGCACGTACGGTCCGTAGAGGAAAACAAGAAGTCCATGATGATAAACGGGACGCGATTTGTGTCCATTGCGTGATGTGAATGTCTTTTCGTAGAATGAAGCGTGTTGATATATCATTGCTTAGGAGGTTTTTTAACAAGTTGAATATGAATCCGAATCATCGAGGAAGAGTCCAAACTTATGGGCTACTAGCGCAACTGTCACATCCAACCAGTATTATTACTTCATGATTTCCAATTTATGTTAAGAGTTCATGTGCCCGATATTCCAGAATGTAGGCAATTTCCATGTGTATACAACATCTATTCGCGTGAAGTCATAAGCCAAGTACAATTTTTCACTATGTGCAGTATTGATAGGGTTATTTTCATTTTATTCCGTATGGTAAAATGTTACTTCGGGTAAAGGTGTGAAACGGGAACACTTCTAATTTACATGAAAATTTTCTTTGGCGTGATAATTTGCAGACACCATTACCGTTGGTGTCCTGTAGACTCCGTGAACAGGAGTTTTATCCATCCATAGATAAAATGGGTTTCTTTTACAAGTAGCTTATCATCACCACGTGATCAGCATGACTTCTCTTCAAGTAGGACACTTCTGTGTGCGACGGTTGGCAGACAAGTTGCCTGACAAAGCGAGCGATAATACAACACGAAAAAAAGAGAGACCATTCTGTCTGTTGTGCGACACTGTATGGATCCAAAGTACAGTTATTCATGCAAACAAGAATAAGTACCGATTCGAATGCACAGTCACAATGGCGGGTTACGGGCAGATTTAAAGGAACCGTGTTCAGTGAAGATTTCTCTAAATTCCTTTTGTGATGTGTGTGAAATACAGAATGGGCAAGAAACTGTGTCATGAACTCGCTATTTTGTTGACTTCTTGGTATAGAAATATTTGTTGTCCGCTCTTTTTATGAAGCGTGGGAAAATAATTTCTTTCTAAATACCTCATTCAAAGTGATCCAAGTGTAATACGGTCCGACGTATGTCAATTATTTTCTTGAATGGGGGTTTAACTGTCGTAAGATGAAAACTTTGATCCCGCGTTTGTAATGAAATGTCATGGTTATTTTGCAGACACAGTCGTAAAGAGATTGCGATGTGAAGAAAAATATTCCTTTCGAAGCAAAGTAATTCCTCTTTCACTGCGTATACGTCCATAGCTACACATCAGAATGGTTGAGTTTATAAAGAACGATGCCATTTTCATTAGTTCATAATTTATGTTCGCGATTAAAGAATATTTGTCGTCTGTTCCTGAAGTTTCGATTATAGTCCAATTACGAACTGCGCAATGGAACAATCACAATTACTACGATGCCTCGCTTTTACTACATTGGCAAATAAATCACTGCAAAAAAACATAACGTAATGGTCCAAAGCAAGGACATGATGTGGTAATGTTGTATTTAGAGCTGAAGAAAGCGATATTAATATTTCTTTCACGTTTCATTCACGGTTCGTGCACACCCAAAACAAATGATCCTTGCGATGCATGAATGCCATGGGATCCTTCGGGCTAGGTTTGACATTTCAGACGGCATATTGCCGACATTAATTTTCCGGGTCGTCAAAGTAGATTCCACACATAGAAATGTCTTCCCATTTCAGCTGGTTCATCCAAGATAATTATTAAACTTCACACTTTAGATGAGCATACAAGTTAAAAGAGATAACTGCTGTTATCAATATAACAAAAAAATCCTTCTTTTTTCAAATAACAAAAGATCATACAGGCACAGTACTCACTGAAGGCATAGCAGAGAACGGTCCATACCGAAGATGCATGGTGACGAAGTTCTTCTAGGTACGAAGAAATTGTCAAACTTGCACAAAATACTGCGAATTCCTCAAGACTCCACAAATGAATAAAATCAAAGGATAACGACTTGGCAATGGTTTGACTGCGAAGAAATATTTACAATCCTTTTACGTGCAGATTTGTCTGTACAGTACCATATTTTAAGTGAAAGACGGGAAAAACACAAGCGGTATCGGTGAAAGAATTCTGTTGATAGGTCCTTCAAAACACATACAATTATAAAAACACAAATAAAAAACTGTCTTCTTTTCTTTGTTCGGTCGAGCTTCAGACTTCAAGAGATACAGCAAGATCATTTCATATTTGTTAGTCTCGTAAGAGTTCACCAGAAGATAACGTATCGCAACAGCTTGCACATATCATCAGCGATAACATTGTCCAAAATTGTGCATTATGATTTGATCCAATTTCAAGAACAATAAAATTCCACAATCAATGTATTATCACTGCTTCATACTGCTCCTTACAAGTTCATTGGAATTTGAAAGTGCTTTATCCATTTTGTAAACTTCTCCACAGTACTGTATTAGAGAGGACCACTACACTGTTGTCCTCTCTAAACTCGGTCAAACGTGTCCGCACTATCATTTGGAGTTTGGACGCATTTCTTTCTTCTTTCTTTGGTAGAATACTTCGGGTTTGAGGTATACTGATTTTAAGCTAGAATAGCCACCATAATGCTCAATGATAAGTCATTTCAGACGCCACTGTTTTTCTTCAAAATAGTTCAGTTCTCGAAAACTAAAACGGATGTGTTCACACGGTCATCTGCAATAACGCGACATTGCTCACGGCTCTCTCAACCTTCTCCATCTCGGCATCGAGGTCGACGGTCTCGACGGAGTCCATGGTCTCGAGGATCTCTGGGTTCTGGACCCATTCGATGGTGTCCTGATCGGTGTCGGGGACGATGAGGCACATGAAGGTCTTTCCAGTATTCCCGTCGCGCGGGTAGATGGTCACAGGCGTGATATGCTGGTTCTGCTCCACCCAACGGCACAATTTTTCATAAACGACTGGGAACTGGTGTCGGAGACTAACCCCGCGTTGGCGTAACTGACGTTGAATATGCACGAAGCACACCTGCCTAGCCTTCATGTCCAGTCCCCCTTCCGACGTCACACCGGGTGGGGCAGTCAAGATCAGCGTCTCGCGATCAACTCCGGGGCCGCTGACCCCTCGCCCGATTCCCTCGTACAGGCGAACTTTGGCACATTTTCGGAGGATGAGGTCCGGTCTCCTTGGCAACGGCTTTGTGGGCGAGTCCTGGCTGGCCACAATGGACACGTTAAGAACAAACTTGACCTCTGGGTCGTATTGGTAGCAGGTCTGCTGGAGAGAGTTGAATCGACCTTCCCCGCATTCTTCTACCTCCCGAGCTGACAGAAAAACAGGCGCTGTGCTCAACTGGTCAAGGCCTTTGGTGATGTACCTGACGGCATGTAAACAAAACGAACTCATTTGAGAAAATTTGTTTTCACTTAATTGGTATGAAACGGTGATCCAAAACCCCAACAGTGTTAACTATTCAGCCTCTCTGTCAAAATAGGTTCTCAGAAATATTTGGTTTATTTCAATCAGAATCAGATATTGTGCAAGATTATGATGTTTAATTTGTATCAGCCCACAATATACTCATCTCCCTTTCACTATCTTTCTGGCGCCCATCTTCTTCTCAACCCCCCCCCCCCCCCCCTTACCTCAAACTCTCTCTCTCTCTCTCTCTCTCTCATCATCTCTCAGTCTCTATATTTCTTTCCTTCTCTCTCTCTTTCTATCTCTTCCTTTCTCTTCCTTTTCCTTCATATTTCCACCTCTCCCTTTCTCCAGCCTCAATGTTTCTTTATCTCACTCTAATTACATGTGACCTTAATATCTTCTATCCCTCGACTCGCTCTAGGGTGTATTCATTATTACGAATTTCAAGCAATATTCGTTTCCCCTACTTCAATAACATGCGGGAAACAATGATAACAATTGCAACACTCACCTATACGCCTCTTCCACACTCGAGAAAGCGAGCAGCACCGCGCCTCTCCCGTGAGCAAAGTAGCCATTCCTGGCGATCTTGGACAACCCTTCCTGTAAGGTCTCATTGTACCGACTGTGGTAAATGACATGTTTGCAGAGACTGTTGACGCGTCCGTACAGGCACTTCTTCTTGTGGCGACCCCAGTGGGCCTTGCGGCAGTCCCGTGAACAGTAGTAGGTGTAGCAGTTGTGGCAGGTCTTGTAGGTCTTCCGGGCTTCCCGAAGCTCCCTGATCTTGCTGCATCTCTTGTAGCTGCACTTCACCATAATTACCTACGAAACAAGGAAAGAACGTAATGAAATCACCGAGCCATTTCTCAAAATGCTTTATATAACCATATTGTAAGTAATAAATCCAATATTGTGTTATTTAAAGGAAACATTGTTGTTAAAAACTTAAATTATGCCATAGCAATATAGATGAAGTTAGTTGTTTGAGTAGTAACAAAGGCTGAAAGCTTTTCTACTTGAGAGTCTAACAAAACAGAAATATACCGAATAAAGACAATGCTTGGAGCCAGAAGGGCGTTTACTCAAATACTTAAACACAGACTCAACGGACTACATTAATGTTTTCTTTTCTCAAACACAAACAAACGGACATGTATGACGATGATGTACACAGTCATTTGCGGACACTTTTAAAGTATTCCCCTACATCGCATGTTCTCAAAACCTTTTGTTTAAGTCAGCGATAATTTAATGTCATTATTTCATTACCCTGTTGACTTTTGTATTTTCCATAGATATCAAGCTTGGATAATGTTCACACATTTCAATATGAGATGCACAAGGCTAATGAAATTTATAGATATGTATACGTGTAAGTGTACTTGGAATAGTTCTATTATCATCGTTATATTTAAATATAGAAATAGTACATTCTTAAGTTACAAAAGTAATGGCATTTGTCACATTTTCCTGTTGATACACAGATATTAATATCAGAGATATAGTAAAGATCCTGCGATCATATTTTCGCTCTCGAACAGCTGAGCATGTGACCTTTGACATAAAGAATCAACGGCGGATCACAGGGAGGGATTCAGGAGCAGCCCAGCCCCTCAGAATATTCGAACAAAAATATGTTACTCCCAACCCCGCCCCCCCCCCCCTCCCCCTCCCCCTTCCCCATTTCAGAGTATATAGTCAACTACTTATGAGCATGAACGTGATACATGGGTTTATTAAATTAGGCGCTCCAGGGTTTGGGGCACTCGCCCCCCCCCCCCCTATCACAACAACCTCTACTTCCCACTCCAGCCCACTCCTCACCCCTCCATCACCACCTCTATTACGAAACCTTTGATCCGCCACTGGTTAAGAATAACAACATAAATGACAGACGGCTATAATTGTCGAAGTGAAACTCGATGCAGATGAAAATGAATACATCGACATGTAATTAGAATAGTGCAGTCAACTGGAAAACAATTTCAGACAACATATCGATTCAAAGACTCACTGTAGATCTTTTACACAAAATAATTACAGTAGGCATATAGACATGCATGCCCACGAAGTTGCAGAAAGATAAGACGAAATATATGATGAAAGATGTGTAGTTGTCATCGTAGTACAATTAAGTAAAAAGTACAGGAAAACGATACCATCGACAAGACTAGAGTCTTTACAGTAATTTAATAATGAGACAATGTGAGGATGCAAGAGATGGACAAATAAGTAACTAAACGCTTTAAATTTAGAGAATAATTTACAACAAAAATATAAAACATAGAGATCATAATAATATTTTAGTCACAATGAGATAAAAAGAGAAGACAATAATTGAAAGAAACTAGGAGAAACGAAGAGTTGCTTTACGTTCGTCATGAAAAAATGTGCAAAGACACTAATTAACCATAGAATATAAGAATAACGATTTGCATGTAATTAGTGTGAAAACAGTAACAAATGTGATTTGTTACAACGTTGAAACGTGGTAAGTGATTATTGTATGAACTTGAAAAAGCACTAATGCATGTAGTGTCTGAGGTGCCCTAAAAAAACTACATGTATGACTGTCAATGTGCGCAATATATGAATAAATCATATGGTGCTAAATTATTTGTATCAGAACCCCGCACTCAAGTGTGACTAAATTCATCTACCGATTTGTCATATGTCCGATTTATCTACTTTATTTATGTAGATGTATTATGGGAAGGCACTGTGTATAGTGTGTGCTATAAAATAACTCATTACACAATGGAACTGAATACGCCTTTAAAATGCAATGATTCACGGACTACATGTATGTATACGGTGTTTTGTACCCAATCTCACCCCCTCACAGAATAGCTTTGTAAAGACCACGTATTGGTGTGGGGAGGCCCTGACGCATTATATACAATGAACAAATGTAGGTTGAGAACAAAAGAAGACATGTAAATAGGAACTCTTCTAGACGCTATACAGACGCTGTGAATAATGATGAGAAACAGTAATATGTATGCCTCCTTGGAAGCAGCATGGACGAATGCGTGTATACATGTAGACAGTTGACTAATGACATCTCCCTGCTAAGATGTACATGTATATGTGCAGAGAGAGGGGGCATACACAAGTTTATGATACGGAGTGTAAAGAGTATATTATGTTTATTATTATATATATATATATATATATATATATACAATTAGTTCAAATCATGTAACCATGTATAGAGTGACCAATTTTACTTGTGCAAAAGTGTACAGAGTATATATATATATATATATATATATATATAATGAAAAATTGTCATCGACGAGAAAGGGGGAGGCCCTCGAAAATTTGAAAATTGAATTAAAAAGTTGGCATAAAATACATTTCTCTCTCTCTTTGTTTCAAACCTCAGTTAAAGTAATACGAAGAATATGTGACATGGGTGTGATATAGAGAGATGAATGAACGTGAATGAAAGATGTTTATGTAATTGTACAGAGAGAGAAAGAGAGAGAGCATCATGCACAATTTGTCATGTAGACTGACCAATTTTACTTTCAGAACTGTAAGGAGAGCACAACCACGACAACATAACGACTACATATGTAAATGACACGAGTTATTTGAAAGAGAGAATTGCATTCAAGTGAACCATGGAGAAGAAAATCCAGAAAAAACAAGGAGAGAGAGAAAGACGGAGTGATAGATATCGTCTGCTGGTGAACTAGAAGGACGTTTCATGTAACTCAATGAAAATTTGGTGAAATACAGCCCTTCTAGATTTCAGCAGACGACAACCGACTTGTTTATGACTGAGGACAAATATTTGACTAGGACATCACGTACAGCGAAGGCACCGTTGTCATGGTAACTTACTCGACCTCGGAAGAACTAAGATTATTGACATCCTAGGAAAGGTCACGTGGCATGTGTGGATAATGTAATAAACATGGAATAATGTGATTGGTTTTTACTTTTGACTGTTGTAATGTAAGACAGGTCATACAACTGTTTGTTATAATTATGTACATACATGTACATGTATGTACCAGATTTAAATATGCAAAGAAATGTAACGACTGTCTATACATGTAGCGTGCATATGTACAAAACTGCAATGTCTGTTCCCCAACCTGAATGTTTTCTGACTAATCTTAAACAATTAACCTATCATGGCCTTATTCTTGGAGACAAGGAGTTAGGAAGGTATTTTTAGATGAGTCATGACTAGAAAAAGATACACCTCCGCAAAATATTTTGTGTCTTTTCCCTCGAAAGTTGGTCTATTGATTCAAATACAAATATCTACGATTCGTCATTCGATACACTGTAGTACAATAAACTGAACGAGCATCTGTGCAATACGCCTATTCAAGTGATATGCCCTTCTTCTATACCTCAATTTACACAATACACCTGCAGTTATCTGCGTGCATATTTAACGAACGATGAATCTCGGTACAAACACGGTTATACTGCTAAAACTCAGACGGAATATTATGTACCACGAGTTATATTATTAGTTATCATAAATCTGGTTTTCAATTACAATGCCTTTCATTTATATACCCCTCTATACAAAATACACCTGCAATTATCTGCGTGCATATTTAACGAATGACTATAAATCGCGCTAAACACACGGATGTATATACTAGCTAAAACTCAATGCGGAATATTATATACCACGAGTAATATTATTAGTCATCATCGTCAATCTGTATTTTCATTACAATGCAAATCAACTCTAGAATTGGCGCTTTTTCGTAAGTAATGCTGCTGGTATTAACGATGGCTGTAATGAATTTACATGTAAAAACAATTATTACAGTGTATATTTCACCAATATCTTTTCTTATACAATAATAAATATGGACATCTGTATATATGTTACACTGTATATTTCACATTGTCATGGTTATTTTTGACGATTGGCGAAAAGAATCAAATTGAATGATTGCACCATTATTGTACACAGAGAAGTAAACAACGAGTGAGTACATGTACCATGTTATTCAAGAATGGGAGGCCTTCTTATAACCAAAAGGCCTACTACAAATAACTAACCCTTTTTCTGGTAATATAATAATTTATACATACAAAATCCTTGTCAACCATGTAATCAGGCTTTTTTTTTTAATCAACCATGTACATGTACACGAAGTTAGGAATTCAACATGAATATATTGCATTGATTTGTTTATTTACGGAGCGCATAATTCTTATGTATATTTGCATTGGCAAAATTAACACAGATGGCCTTCCCAGTAAAATCTACCTGGTCCAGTATGTTTGTTATTGGCTTTGTCCTGCGAACCACAAACAGAATTTTCTCCCAGACTGAGTGTTAACAATAGCTTTGCTTAATCGCATTTGAATCTAAAGAAGGGAATTAGATTTAATGCTGGCAGGGGAGCATTCCCGACAGTTAACTGCATTTCGGTAGCTAGATTTGTACGTAATGTATAAGCAGGGAGTTGGAATGAATATATATAAGAGTATACCATAAAATATGCATAGTATACTATACATGTTAGGTCCATGTTACATGTACGTATATTCGAGGCATTTGCTTGGTATAATACACACTAGATACCATGATACTATTGTAGTTGTATTTTCTCAGTTCACGAAAAGGTATACAGTTAACAACTAAATTATTCATAGCCCTTGTAAATTTGATGTTTTTGTGCATATATTAACTCTAGAATGAAAGGGGTGGACTAGTTGAAGTAGGGACTTTGTTGATATGATCAGTGAAAAAAATACATTGGGGCTCGGGGCGAATTAGCCCCCGAAATACCAAAAAGAGCCCCCAAAAGTCATAAAAAGAGCCCCCAAAATTTGCATAGAGTTCAATGCAAAACAAATTAAAGAGTTTTATTTTCATGCAAGCAAGCTGGAAGAGTAGCCCCCGGAATTTTGTTAGTATTTTTTCCCTGGATATGATTAGATGTAAGCTTTAATATGTCACATTCTCAAGGAAAATAAATCGGGACAAATCAATTTTCGCTTAATACATTTCAAAACTTGGTATTAAAGGGTATGAATAATTTTAGTTGTTAACTATATGTGTACAGGCTATTAGAGAATCTTTTACAAGTACACATGTATTTCCTAATCCATGTATCAATTTGTATATCCCCTGCTTAGCTGATTAAATTGGCCTGCGGCAACAATAACAGTATTCAATCGATACAATAATGTAATGTAATACGTATGGGTACTCCAAGCATATACGTATGTCTAACTCTTTACGATGGGTGTATTCCATTATCGCGGGTAGTCTTTAAAAAAAGTTAAATGACTTGAATTTGGTAGATCGATGAAAAGTCAGTAATAAAATTTGATTATACTCAGTAGTACATATATGTTGTATTTGTTTCAGTCGTTTTAGCACTTTTTTCTTCATGTGACTGAATCTCCGTTCGCTTTTATATTTTATCTGTCTTTGCCAGAATAAAATGGAGTCGTGTGTAGCGCATGTAGATCGAAATCAACGATCTTTGTATTATACTATCTAAATTTGTAATATCGAATGATTAAGAACAAAATGATGTCTATACTGCTAGAAAAAATGAAATCCAATTCATGCATTTTGATAGCACGAACAAATTCGAGAAAAACATATAGATTGTGTCAAATAAACATTATTCCCACAATCGGCTTTGGAGTATAATAGATAACTTGAGATCATTTAAGTAGCACAATAAAATACATATGCAACATTTTGTGAATATTATACTGCGAGTTAATGGTAATGATGTACAGTTTACACAGATTGTTAAATATTAGATGAAAGTGTTAGGAACATTTATGACGGGCAATCAAGGCATAGTTGTTATGATAAGACAGATGGGTTATGAGAGACAACAAAAATAGAAGATTATATATGAAAAATGATCAGATATGTAGAATGAACTCTACATAGATAATGAATGAAGTTAAATAAAATAGATCTGTAGGAATTGTATATGTACAACAAAGTTTGGTCACTTTGATGTAAATAATTCACTTTACTTTAAGGAAAATATAATGTAGTAAATATGGGTATCACTCTCCAACAATTATTTGATGTAAAATCTTACTGGGAAACAGTAAATTCAGACACATTAATATCGTGTAAAGTGTTCTTGAAAATTTTGAAAGATGTCTGCATTATGATTTTATCTCATCGTCTGCATGGCATTGTAAAAGACATCGTAATATAAAACATTAATAAAAGAAAGGAGAAAAAATTGAAATATAGACTTACCTCTTCCGATATGTCTGATAGTCCTCCTCGACTCCTGGTTATATTCCTCGCCTCGTCATCCTGTCCATCATTGATCACGATGGACTTCAGTATCCTCTTCCCTCCTGACGTCACCCTCTGACTCGCCACCTTCCTTTCCCTCGCCTCGACGTCGTCCTGCGAGATCACCGTCTCCAGCGAGCTGTCGCTCTCACTCACCGACTGGTCCGACGTGGTCGTCATCGACATCGAAGAGGCGTCCATGTAGGAGGAATACTCCGTGAATGAATTACTGGGAGAACGACTGGTGGATAGGCCTAGCAGACTATCCACTATCTCTTCCATGGTCACGGAAGGGGGTTGGACGCCGCCGGCGTATCGGGCGTCGTCCAGGTTTTGGAAACTCGACGACATCGCACGTTGATCCCATGAAGCGCTGACGGTGACATCGTATTGGTCAGCGCTGGTGTCGGTGACGGTGATATGGGGTTGGTTGACGAGTGAGGCGGTGATTTGGGGATTCGAACTCCTGATCATCGTCGAGGGCGATGAAGATCCAGCGAAATATCGTTGATCATGATTCGTTGGCGAGTGCAAGAGGGGTATATCTCGACTTGAATACTGCGACGCTTGGTTCCATTCATTATTGTTATTGCCATTATTATTATTATAGTAAGTGTCAGTGTTCATATTTCTGGGTAATGTAGCTTCATCGTCTCCATGGTAACCAGAGTACTCATATGGTTGACGACGGGAGTGGTCAATGTCGACTTCTCTTTGGTGATGGTAGTCAATAGGGGAACTAGCTGAACTTGAAGAAGTAGCTGGGTGTGAGGAGTTATCTCTTATGTTAACTTCAGGTGGTGGAGGGGGTGGAAGGGGAGAGCTGTCCCGGCTGTTGTAGTATCCTTCTGGTGGGGGAGGTGGTGGAAGGGGCGAGCTTGAGGTGGCTGAACTGTAGTATTCTTGTGGCGGTGGTGGTGGTGGTGGTGGTGGTGGAGATGGAAGCGGTGGGGACACACACGCCTCTTGTTGTTGGGTGCTCACTGCTGAGATGTAAAACATAGCCGATCCACCGATTCGCTCATCCTTTTGCACTGCATACTCATAAGGATCTTCCTCATCACCCACCGATCTACTCCTCTCTCTTTTTGCTTCTTCTCTATCACCATGAACTGGGAGAATGTACTCCTCCTGGTTCCCTCCAACCAAGTCCTCCGCGGAATGAATATCTTCATCAGGAGAAGCTCGCCTATAAAGGGCTGGGTTCATTGGCAGGGCAAACTCACTAGTCCTCACATCTTTATGAATTTCGTCACCGATGCTGAAAGACAAGTCATGTCGGAGGGGGGCACTAAAAGACGACGTAATCGGCTGGAATCCTGGCGTCGGCTCCGTTGAATCGATGGGCAATTCAGAAAATGACCAGGATGAATGCACTGGGACGGATGGGGAGACACTGGGTGCCGGAGAAAACCCAGTCCGAAGTCGGGCCTCTCGCGTGAACGACATCCTTGTCGAGCTCGTGGGTTGAGCAAAGAAACGATGTCCAGTTGGAGTAGGAGGTCCACTCATAATCTGACGGGGTTTGTGATTACGATACGCGGGGAGACTTCGAATATCTCCGCTCATAATCTGCTTGAAATGCGATGATTTTCGATACCAAGTGGGCAGTTCCATGCGCTTCAGAGTTTCCCTCATACGAGCGAGTTGCTTCGCAATCACACCACCCGAGCTTTCTCGCCAGTCAGACTGAGTAGCATCCGCATCGTACTCGAGATTTGGTCCCGGAGTAAGAGAGCGTTTACCCTTTCGTCTTGCTACCTCAAACGGTACAGTGAGCTCAGTTGTAATACTGTCGGTATCAGAATCATGAGCTGATGTAGAATGTCTCGGATCAGGACTTCTATTTGTAGCTTCCTCCCATGGTTGTATAACTTTATGATCCTTTGTATTTCCGGCTGCATACTCGTCACCCGACTCCACTTGAGAAGTTGGTTGTTTATTCGAATTATCACTAGATCTGCCTGCTATAATATCCGCAATGACATCAAGATTGTCCTTGGCACTCACAGAAAGCCGCAAATTAGGAATAGGAGCTAAACGGGGGGCTCTTTTTACTGAAATCGGTTGTTCTGCTGTGCAAACTGACTCTTGTTTATTTTTCTCTTCAATGAATACCTTGGGAGGCAAGTCCTTTTTGTCGGGTTGTTTTGCAAACTGATCATCTCTTTGTTTCGGTCGAATAGTTCGCTCACTGATTATTTCCTCGGTCCGCTCAGTCTCGGTGACGACAAGTACTCTTTCTGATCTCCAGTCTGCCAGCGAGGTTTCCATAAACACGTCGTCGGTATCCCCGGCCGACCATCGGCGATCTCGAGCGCCCAAATCGACTGGAGTTTTCTCACTAGCCTCCTTTCCAGACAAAGGCTTATCTCTCGCATGTTGATTCTGCCCTTGTTTGACAGCGTCATTATCAGGCGGGCAAGGTTCGCTGACGATTAGCTTCGGAACAGCGTCACTTGGAGACGGAGCATGCGTAGTAGAAGCTGAAGTGGTGGAGCTAGGTATTTTAGCATCAGAGGGTGACGAATGCATCGGCTGGGTATTCGCATCACGTGATGAAATACTTGATGAATACTTCCATGAGCTTGGTTTAGGTGGCACAGGCGGGGGACCAGCTCTACCTGAAGGTTTTTGCAATTTTGGTTTGGCTGGTGAGACCTCGCCACTCTTGGACCTTTGGGTCACAAACTGTTGGTAAGAATTCATGAAATCAATAGGATCGGGAGAGGGATCGCGTCCCGAAGATGACGATGGTGGCGACGCCGCTTCATGTCTATCATTCTCGCCGACATCGTCCAAGAGTTCGTCATCGCTTTGGACAATCTTAGCTTTCTTAACAAAGCTCTGCTCCCTCTTCAATGGAGACACGACTTTAGTTTCATCTTCGTCCTCCTCCTCATCGTCGTCATCGTTGTCATCATCATCATCATCCTCATCCTCGTCACTTTCCTCCTCACTACTAGAAGAATCTTCATTCTCAGACGAGCTGAATTGGTTTTCCCTTACATCATCCTCAATATGTATATTGGGTTCAGAGTCCAAGTTTGCTTCGAGATTAGGCTCTGGTGTTTGTATTGGCATACTCGTATCGATGATTGGCCTATCTTCAAGACTCTGAAACAAACTGATATTTTTCTTCACCGGTTCAAGACGCTCTGCAACCACTTCTCCTTGTTGGGTCACTTCAGGGCTTTTAGATGGCGTAGATGCGTACTCTTGTTTCGTCCAATCAAAGAGCGGCTCATTGTCAAATGTGTATGATGATCCTTCTTTGTCGGGAACAAAATTCTGAGACTGGTTTTGATGATATGGCATTGCCCGTTGCCCAAAATCTTTGGATTGGTTTTGATTGTATGGCGTAGCTTGTTGCTCTAAATTATGGGTGGGGTCTCGAGGAAACGGCGTCGTTTGTTGCTCGAAGTTTTTAGGTTGGCCTTGATGATGCTCAACAATTTGGGTGTGGTCCTGATCATATGGCGTTGCTCGTTGCTCGAAACCTTTGGACTGGTCTTGGTAATATGGCGTTTCCTGTTGCTCAAAATATTGGTTTGGGTCTTGATAATACGGCGTTGCTTCATCCTCAAACTTTTGGGGCTCGTCTTGATAGTATCGTGTCTCTTGTTGCGGAATATTCTGCAACTGGCCTTGATACGGCGTTGCTTGATACTGGAAATGTTGGGGCTTGTCTTGATAGTATGTTGTCACTTTTTGCTGAATTATCTGCGATTGGCCTTGATATGGAGCTGCTTCACTTGCTTGTTTCTCAAAATCTTTGGACTGGTCTTGGTAATATGGTATCTCTTGTTGCTGAATATTCTGAGACTGTCCTTGATTAAACGGCTGCGGCTGATGATCATATCCATATCCATTGTGAGAAGATGACTGATATTGAGGATTAACATCTTCATTTTCCCCGCGTGATTCACTAACCGGTTGGCAATCAACGACTTTAACCGGTTCGTTGTCGACAGATGACACCGGTTCTGACACCTGTTCCGATTCAAAGCCGGATTCTGGTTCAGCATTATACTCAGGTTCTGGCAGGGGTTCATGTTCGTGTTCATCGTGTTGGTATACAGGTGGAGCAGGCTTTGTTTGATGTCCCCATAGTCCGATCACAAAAGCCCCTCCAGCAGTCCTTGTGACAACTGGAGCGTTTTCATCCACCGTAGCAGTATTATCCTCTTCACTTTCTACCTCATTTTCTTCTCTTTCGATGTAGCCGTCTTTTGTTAGCTCATAAAAAGGATCTTCCTTTTGTCTCGTTTCCTCTTCACTTGGATCATCAGCAGGGAATTGCTTGGTATCAACAATTTCAGGTTGCACGCGAGGTACAGAATTTTCTCCAGGCATTTCACTTGGAATATCAGCTTTAGGAACGTAATTCCTCGTTGATGGCAGCTCAAGCAAATATTCTTTCTCAAAGTGATAAGGGATGTCCGTTTCTTTGGATTGCTTGTTAGAGATGACGGTTTCGTCGCTACTCCTTACATCATCACTAGTAAACTCAGATCGCTCATGGTCGCTAGGGTATTGCCCCCACATCCTGGGCTCCTGCTCAAGTTCAACAATCTCGACCATTTTGCTGTCACTGGGCCCTCTCCTATCAAACCCATTGTTCCATTCGTTTGGCTGGCCATGATGATAATCTTCTAATGTAAATGTTCTATGAGCAGGTGCTACTTCTTCACGTTCAGGATCAAACCTGTCATCAATGAGGGTTTCCTTCTTCGCTTGGACACCCGCTGTGAAGCCATCCCCACCTGGCCAATCTGCACCAGTCGATGTTGATTCGTACGATGATGTGGGTGTGATGCTATTGTTATACAACTGTCTGTCGCCTACAGATGGTGTTGGTTTTTCATGTTGAGAGTTAAAGCTGAGATCTTTGAGTTGAGCTTCATAGACGGGTGTCCCAATGTAAGGCATCTCAACGACTTGCACTGCAGGGCTGACACCGGCTTTGCTACCATCTTCAGGCTCCAGGGTGATGTCACTGCTCACATCTTCGAAAGATGATGAATTACTTGGGACATACACACGCACCGCATCTCCTCGATAGGGTTGGATTGAAGAATATGCAGGCATTACGTGTATGGTTTCATTATCCTCATCCTCATTTTCTAAAGTCCTTTCCGTTTCAACATCTTCATCATCACTTTCGCTGCTTTCATCATCATCGTCGTCGTCGCTGTCCTCATGTTGGTCGGTGAGACTCCTCTGGTAATCATCACCATCACTTGTATATGACAGTGTCCCAGTAACTGTGCTATGTTCTCTGGAATAGCCTGCTTCGGATTCTTCTGGAATTGTTTCGAGTGTCGGATAAACCGGCAGTTCATCATCTTCTCTGTAATAAACGACATCTACAGGTTCGGGCATAGCTTGCATCAGCATCACTTCGGGAGGCAGAGGAAACTCATTATTATCCATAGGCGCCTCCACAGGTTCATCCTCGTCAGAATATGATGCAGATTCACTGGCATTGTGTGTCTGTGTCTGTGACTGCATTTCGTGGTCTGGTGGAGAATAATTGTGTATTTCATGAGGAGGTTGATGGTACTCCTTCTCCTCATTCATCTCATAAGTTGGTGAACTGTAATCGTATATAGGGTTATCCGGTTCTGCTGGTTCAGCATCAAAATGAACCCTTGGTCGAGCCATTCCCATGTCAACAAATTTTGTCGTCACCCCTCCAAACTCTAATGATTGAACCTCACGCGGTAAATCAGCAGTCTGGCATTCCGCAGATTCTGTGTCAACTTTACGAGGCTCGGAAGTCGGTTCAATATCCATATCATGGGTCAGATCGTCGGTTTGTATTTCAATTTCCATGGTTTGAATTTCTTTTTTTACAGGTTCGGCTTCGGTTTGCATGGTTTGAATTTCGGTTTCCACAGTCTGGATTTCGGTTCGCATTGTCTGGGGTGGCGGAGAACCGACAGCGGCATCAGATGGGCTAGGGTCACGTAGCTCTTCATTTGATGTCTGAATCGAAATAGAGTTAGGTTTCGGTTCCAATGACGTTTCATACATGATAAGATCAAGATCAACTTGAGAGCTGAAATCGTGGTTCGGGCGAGTTTGAACCCCCGTTGACATCATCTCGGCTGGGAAGTCTTCATACGTGATTTGGACAGCCAAATTCGATTCGGATTTGGTTCGACTTGTCTGTGCCGTGGACGAGGACAACGGAGGCGGGGAAAGTTCTGTCCTTGGGGCAGGTTGAAAGCTTTGGGCAGGTTGCAAGCTTTGGGCAGGTTGAAAGCTTGAAGTAGGTTGAGCACTCTTGAAAGAAAGATCAGATTCAGATTTCGACTGTGCAACAGTGCGGCAAGTATTGGAATGATAAAAGACTCTGCCTGGCAGCGAGTGTTTAGTGAATGCATCAGCGCTAACGTTGGGTTGTCTTCCGGCTTCTCTTCCGGAAAGGTTCAAGTCTGATCTTGTGTAAGACACTGCTGGTGACATGGCAGGTGGATAACGGATTATTTGAAAGGATGGCTGGGCGAGGGGCAAGGGCTCATCATCTTCATCTTCTGAGGATGGCGTTCGGTTAGCTCCCCTTCGTGTAGAGTCATCATCCATTTCCGGATCACTCGACTCAGACTCGGTTTCATTCGGTTCGGTGTCGGGTTCTGCAGAGAAAACCGTCTCCTTGCCGGTTATATATCCCCTACTGGTAACCGGCGCCCTAGCTTGCTGATCATCTACATGTATCACAATATTGGTGTTTTCATCACGCTTTCGTCTCCCACTTCTCACTCGAGGCTCTTTATCCAAAGCGATGATGGATAGCATGCTATTATCATCGTCGGAATCACGGAAGAAGTTATCATCATCATCACTCTGTAGTATAACAGATGGCTCAGCCAAGCTATTAGCACTCACCCTCCCCGTCAGAGAGAAGTATGCATGCTGAGGCGGAGGTCTATGGCTCTCATCCCTAGGGGCTTGATGTTGAAGATTTGGTTGCTGTTCTTGCAACACATGTGAAGGTTGATGTTGCTGCCTTTGTTGATTTTGTTGTGTCTGCTGCTGTTGCTGTGGATCTTCATAGGCCTCTGTTAACTGGGTTTGTATGCGCCTTCTCACATGTGGTGCAGAAGTGATTTGAAAAGTGTCTACTCCTGGCGTTGTTCTTTCGACTCTTGGATGTTGCTCTTCATGCCTTATCGGTTCAGGCTCTCGTCTGGCGGGCTGAGGCTCTGGCCTTGCCGGTTGAGACTGGGGTTCTGCGCCCAGAGTAGTTTCCTTCAATCCTTTCCGAGGCTTTGGCTTAGGCTGGGGTTGTATGTTTTCTGCTCCTTGTAATTGGATGTTCCCTTCATTTGCTAGCCTCTGAGCTCTCCGTCCTTTAATCTTCTTCTGTTTCACTTCAGTGGCTACTTTCGCTGATTCCTGTCTGACGAATTTCATGTCACGTTCACGTTCTAGTTCCTCACCAGGCTCCCAATAAAAACAAGTTTCTTTCATTTTGGTGGGAGGCGGATTGTAGCCACTGTCACTGCTTTTGGAGGAACCTGAAACGTCCTGGTCAGACTTGTTGTCGATGCCAAGAGAAGTACGTTTTGCTGGAATTGGCGGTTGCAGCAATTTTTGAAACAGGTCTTTTTGTGTCGGAATAACCTCTTTCTCCCTTTGCTGTGACTGGTAAGTGGGTGGAGTTTGCCTACCAGAGGCCATATTTGGCAAACTATTTGTTTTAGATTCGTGAACACCTTGGTTGTGAGAACCTGACAGAGGAGCAACTTGTTGCTGCATTTGATGTTGCTGCTGGATCATCCTATCTTGTTGAGTCTTTCGGGGTAAAGAATGTTGCTTCACCTCCTGTTGTTGGTGAGGATATTGTTGCTGCTGTTGGTGACGGTTCGGTTGATGTTTCTGCTGTTGATGGTTATGTTGTGGATGTTGCTGATGTTGTTGCTGATGTTGTTGCTGTCGTTGACGGTGCTGGGTTTGTTGCTGCCTCTGTTGCTGTGGCTGATGGGGAGCAGCTTGGGGTTGTGACCTGCCTGGGTGATGAACTCTGACATCTCCCACAGCATAGTGTGACTCAAATTGTGGTTGCACATGTTTTTTCTCGGGGTGACTTTGAACCCTTCTCCTTACCCCTCTAGGATCCCGATCAGGCAAAGGAGGGGGCACATTGTCACCACCCATTGATCTTGAATGTTGCTTCGGATGTTGTATGTGTGGAGGGTGCCGAGAGTGTTGTTGCTGCTGACGACTCTGTGGAACCCCTCTGCTTGGTGCCTGTTGTGGATGTTGTGGGTGGCCTTGAAAGTGTTTGTCTTGTTGCCTCTGTTTATTATCCCTTTGGGGTTGCTGAGGGGCAGCCAAAACATTCTGTCTCATTTCCCGCGGAATCGTTCCTTCCCGAGGAAGAGTTCCTCCTCGGGGAAGGGTTGAGGGAGGAATTCCTCTTGGATCTTCTCTTGGATTTTGCCTCTGGTGAGGAATTTGACGATGCGGTACTCGAGGGTGTGCTTCATTCTGACTATGCAGCGTAGACGTCGATGAAATTGAATGTCTACTTGTGGCGTCATTCATTCCAGGAGGGAACACCAGAGGGGCTCCTCCTTGCCCCGCTCCTTGCCCCCCTGGCGGGGCGCTCCTCTCATGGCGGAGATTGAAAATCAGCTGCTGCTCCTCGGGTGTTAAACCCTGCACTGAAGGTGCCTGTATTGACACCGTAGATGCTAAGCTTTGTTGAGACACAGCTGGGGAGGGGCCACGACGCATCCCTGGCGAATGAGGTGGGTGCAACCCACCCCCATTTAGCTGACCCCTTTGGTGGTGCACATCAGCTTGCCCAACATATTTCCTTGGATGTTTATAATGCGACTCGTCATCCTCCATCCCATTCCTATGTTGTATTTCAGAATATTGGATAGGTGAGGGATATCTCCCTTCAACTTCAGTAGCGTTATTGCTATAACCTCTCCTAAGCGTTCCTCCTCGACCAACATTAGCATAAATGGGTTGCATACCAACATTTCCATGATCACGCATAAAATTACCATTTTTTTCAAAGGGACCGTAAAATAATTTATCAATCCTTTCCAGTGATTCCTGTGATTTTGTACCCTGTCTACTTTTGTCTGCTTTCATGTTTTTCAGGATACTTTTAGGCACAGGAGCGTTAGGATCATCTTCCATCACGGCAATTTTAACCGCTTTTTTCCTCTTCTTCGTATCCTTACCGTCTCTCCTTCTCGCATCAGCTTCGTCATGTTTTCTCTGCGCCCCAACTGAGCGAACAATGACCACCCGTTTCTGGGGCTTCGGCCCGAACAACGACGACATTTCGCTGGCACTGCTAGCACTGTTAATTTCCAAACTTGTCTCACAAACAATATCACTATCCGCTTTACTTAAAACATCCTCCTCCTTCTGATCGCTAGAAAGATTTCCAATATATCCATATGGATCCGAGTCAGGCGTTGTCACTCGTCTTTCCTCGTTTGAATCATGCGAAACATGGCCGTTGATATTCCCAAATGTTATAACGTTCGGTATGGATCGTCTATTGACACAGTTTGTATGAGGCGCTGTCGTCCGTGTACTTTGCCCCGTACAACTCAACGACTGTGCGGGGTTATTGTTATTGACGGCCGTCACATTGGGACCGCCTATTGTTGAGGGAGCGGTTAAGCATAACGGCTTCCCAGACGCGATTGCAGGCGTTTCTGTATTGTTGTTATCACAATAAATGAACGAGTTATTAGTCACTGGCAAGATGTGGGTGACACCTGGTGGTTCCTTTACCACGATGGAGTATCTTCCGTTGCTCCCTAAAATCGCAAAGTAGCGCGCGTTGGTGATGATGTGGCTGCGACGCGGCTTCGTCGCTACGGAGATGTTATCGAGGTCATCGACATCAATCGTCGGATGCTGAGGGGGCGAATGATACTGATGATGAGCAGGTTGCAGTCGTGGTCGTGCTGAGATGAGCGGTGATGCCTCCCTGCTGGCCAACGGCTCCACCTCCTCGACGATGCTCTCGAGAAAGAATGGCCATAGTCGAGCTCGTTTACCAACTCCGACTAACCCCGGTATTGACTTTCCACCCAGATTCTTGAATAAGTCATCGTCACTGTTTGCACATAGGTCCTGGTAGTCTTCATGTTCAAGTATTGCGCGATACTCCTCTAAAGCATGCATGCTATAGCTCCTTCGTCCCCTCTCCTCTCTTCCATCACCTCAATTTAACCAAATCAAAAATAGTTTTCTCTTTATGACCTGCAACGGTAATAAATAATCATGTTTTTTGCTCCAGTGTGATGAACACACACGTAATGCACTATCATCTATAATACGCCATCTACTACGCCTCCGATACAGACTTGTAGAGGAAAAGCTTTTTATGCCCGCCATCTGCCCTCTCGCTCGCTCCTGATTGGTCGATAAATCTTACTCTCATCATCGATTTCTTTCCATCTCATTAACATAATGCAACTCATCAATGTAAAATCGGATTCCATGCCTGCACCGGAGGCTGTCAGATTCATACGCTTTTCATGAGGACACTCAATTTCTTGCAGGGCATTTCCATGATAGAGCCAGTCTCCCATATAAGGAAATCACATTATCATACACAAAATATTGATTGATTGATTGATTGATTTTTATTCGACAAGCTTCCAACATACAACAATATACAATAATAACAGATCAAAAAAAAGTCAGCTTGAACAGGATAACCCACGAAAGCTCGAGAGCTTATTTCCAGTGGGGTCCCTTACAGACATGTATAAAATTAATAAGTTAAAATAGTAATATTTACAGACAGATAAGAAAATTAAAAGAACTACTTATTAAAGATAATAATAATAACAACATTAAACTGATGATAGAAATGATATTAAGTACAAGAAGAAAAAGAAGAAGGAGAAGAAGAAAAAGAGGAGAAGGAAGAAGAGGAAAATAATGATGAATTTGTAGAAATTCTATAACGTACGAAAACATAAGTATATACAACATGAAAAAGTATGAACCGACAGAAGAATAAAAATTTCAATCATATAACATGTCATTCACTTCTCTTCTCTGACTGTCAAGTATTAGGTATTCCTTTAATTTCCTCTTAAAATGATCATAGTTTCCTATTTCTTTTACACCATTGGGAAGGGAATTCCAATGTTTTATGGCATTGTAATAAAACGAATTTCCAATACTACCTACTCTTTCAGGTAAGTTAAAGTTGAATCGTCTATTTCTTGTATTATAATCATGTACGTCAGTAACAAGATCGAAGTTGGATCGAATATAATGATTCGACCTAGTATGGTATATTTTATGCACATCCTCAATGTACATGCAACACCTCGGCTAATTATGCTCTCAAAATTTGGCTTTGGGCGTCGCATGCGTAATTGATTGAAAGTGGATTGAAAAAGGCTGCTCCGAATGTAATTAGCTAATTAATCCGTTTCACAAAGCAAAATCGCTCTATTAATAAACGAAGCATGGTGAACTACAATTTTTTATTCGTGTCCCCTAATCCAAATACACTTTACACAGTGAAGCAACTGGAAATTCAATGGAGTTTTTTATCTTGTAAAAAAAAACTCCATATTGATTGATTTAGATAAAAGACCAACAATTAAATGTCAAAACATTTGAATAAATGTCATATTACGTCATATGCGCCATGAAGGTATAGTATTGTTGGTATTTAGGAGTTTACCTTATTTATGGGGCTACATTATATTCAATCGGAGAATTTAATGTTAAGTCTAAATAAATTGTGAAATAGAGGTTAATTGGTAACAAGTGCATCTTGATCGAGGAATTATTTAAGCGTTTTCTTTGTCTGTTCTTTTTGTCATAACTTTGAATTTAATATACCCTTGCAAAATATAAATTAGAAGTCAACATTAGGGAGAGTAATTCGAAAAGACCATTACCCCCCCCCCCCCCCCCCCCCTTCCAGGTCGCCGGACTGTCGATCACAAGACCAGGTGATGTAAATGGGTAATTGCAGGAATTAGAGAGCGCCGTAGGAAGCATAGCTAAACCCGGGTAATGATCTCCCAGTTTGGAAGCGCTTAGTGTTTGTAATAAGCGCTATATAAAAACTGAGTATTATTATTATTATAAAAAAGGGACTCATCAAATATTCAGAAAACACTGGTTTTTGCCTGGAAATCTTAGAAATTTCATATCAATTGCCGTCATTATCAAATACCATTTGTAATTTTTCATTCGGCGTAATTTTTATATCCATTCGATCTGTATTGCTTCATTCGACAATAAAATACAGAGATGGCGCTAGACTGAAATCATCACTTCTCGTAGTAAAGCAACACGCTAAAAGCAAAATTTATGAAAAGCGTGCAGTCCAAATAATTGTTTTCACCAAGTTCTAACTTGTATACTATATACAATCATGTTGTTTATTTGTTTTTAATTAAAGTGTCACTATGTGAGGTTACATCACAGGTATCCAACCCTCCGTTTCACTGGCGTACTGATAGGGGGCTTGGTGCTGCTGCCCCTACCCCCCCCCCCCCAAAAAAAAAAGGTTTCACGATTAAAAGGGGGAGAGAGAAACAAAGTGTAAAGGGAGAAAGAAGGGAAGGGAGAGAGAAAGAAGAAAGAATATATAAGAAGGAAGAAAGATAAGGCATCATTTTTGTTTATTAATGCCACCTTTAGAGTAATTTCATTCGTTACTTCAAGTAAAATTGTAAAGCAATTAGAGTACGTTTTGGGACTATTGTGTCATGTCTTCTAGAGTCTATCTTGTCACCAAATGTGTATAGTCCATGCCCTCTAAAAAGGTACGATTTATTTTCATTGTTATAGGAGTTCGTCTATCAAAAATCTAGATTTGCTGAATCTTCTTGGTAACTCCAATCATATATAGTAACATGTATAATTCTCTACGTCCCCCTCTTCTACCCCCCCCCCCCCCTATCTCTCTCTCACGTTTTCTCTCTTTTCCCTTCATGTTTTCTCCCCATGAGGTATCTTGTTTCTTCTTTATTTCTTATAATCCCTTTCCATTTCTCTTTTAAATTATGTTCCTTCTTTTCCCCCGTCTCGTGTAATTTTATTCTTCCCTCTTTCTCTCTCTCTCTCTCTCTCTCTCTTTCTCCTTTTCTCATTTCTTTATATCCCCCTCTATCATGTCCATCTCATCTCTTTGTCTCACTATCTTTCTTTCTCTCTTTCTCCTTCTCTCTTTTCTTTATATCCCCCTCTATCCTATGACCATCTCATCTCTCTGTCTCACTATCTTTCATCTACCCTCTCTCCGTCTCTCTCTCTGCCTCTCTCTCCCTTCCCCTCTCTCTCTCTCTCTCTCTCTCTCTCTGTCTTTCTTTCTCTCTTCTCCTATTCTCTTTCTTCCTGAGTTCTGACAGTCCAAATCTCCCTGCAATTCACAATAACATTCACCCGCTGCATACTGTTTTAATGGAACAGACCCCATTTCATTTATTTTCTTTAAAAAAACAAAGCAAAATAAAAACGAAATAAAAAAACAAAACATTAATTTTCATTGAAATTACAGAATACATATTTAATTATCATTAATAAAGAAACATCCCTGGTGCAATATTAAATATCTATTATATCATACTTCGAAAACTTGCGCATGAAAACAAATTGAAAATCATTCATGAATTAGATGTCAAAGGTCATTAAGCACACAAGATAAATTGTGCATTCATTTCAGGGACACCCTTTGGTTTCATCGGGCCGACTCATGAAATATGCTTGTGGGATATACCTTGTATACCACTCGAGGCCATTCAATATTATATCATTATTATCCATTTATTGTAATAATCAAACATTTCCACTGCAGCATTAAATACATGTATATCATACATGAAAAACTTGCTCATGCAAAACTTGAAGAAAAAAAAGAAGGGAAAAAAGGGCTCTTATTTCATTGAACACAATGGTAGATCACACTCACTATATTCTGATTCATGACATATGGTCAACAGCTCATGCGATATTCTCTTGTATCCCACACAAGGCTATTCAGTATTATATACCGCATATGAAGATTATAGGCCTCTGATTGGTTGAAACTCCAGGCATGAAATTTACTACTGACTGCTGGTCAGTATAGCAAAAAATATTGACCGGGCATAGTTCTACCTGCCCGGACATTGCAAAGGATGCAATGGTTGCACATGATGCTAACAATGGATAAGTGCAGCAAAACACCTGCAATGCTCTCAGTAAAATTTCCCAAGACCCAACAAGTAAATACATTTTGACAATCCTAATTTGTTGCAATATCTCTCTTTGAGAATTGACACTGTGGATGCAGTATATTACATTACACAAATATTGACTGCTTATTTTTGGGGTCGCGCCCTTAGACGAAGTCAAGTACAGTTTTAAGATCAGCTAGGGCAATACTGTACCTCTCAAAGCAGTAAATATGTGTGTATTACATAAGTACTATTACAGTCAAACCTGACTTAGTAACCACCTGTCTACAAAGACCACATTTTTTGTTTCCCTTGAAAATGGTTTCTCATTGAAACATGTACTATACCTGTAGGCACCCATCTACAAAGACCACCTGCCTACAAAGATCATTTTTCTTGTCTCCCTTGAGTGGTCTTTATAGACAGGTTTCACTGTAGTACCATAGCTGATTTACTGTAGGCACCTGTCTACAAAGACCACCTGCCTATAAAGATCACTTTTCTTGTCTCACTTGGGGGATCTTTATAGACAGGTTTCACTGTAGTACCATAGCTGATTTTTACGAGTTTTTTTGACCATGTCCATTGTCCATCTCTTACAACTCTACCAACTTGTCCTCTCCTGGAAGATGGCAGATGAACTGAAAGATGAATATCTCGAGTCAAAACATGCAGTTATTCATCAGATGTGCAGCCCTCCTGATCCTTTAGGATCAATAGCCCTCGTTGGAGGATTTAATACTGGTATAGTCTGGAAATTTCTTTTGTAGGATCTTTACCGCTATGCTGTGATCAGCCTGCCCGAAGCCCTGTGTTGATGAAAATTAACAGAAGGACATCAAAATGACTAAAAAACGAAAGGGGACAAGAATGCATGGCAGAGAGATAGAGAAAGATGGAGGGAGAAAGTGAGAGCAAGAGAAAGGATGTAGGGGAGAGAGAGAGGGAAAAAGAAGACGGGATGAAAGATTGTCGAGAGGGAGACAATAGAGCAAGAAAAAAAATGTGTAATATATTGACTGATGAAAACAAGGGAAACGCTCTCGGCGGTCTCACCTGCATTACGCAATTCGTTATGATAAAAAAAATTGAGGTTGGAACATTATTTATAGGCAGGGTGGCCCATTAGCAGGCCCCACAAAATGAAATTCTCTGAATATAATCAGCATTTTGAAGTGAATATTGACTAAGAATCATCAGAAGAATTATTTACTATTAATTGTACCACGATCGACAACTTGAATGAAATATGAACAAATTAATAAAAAAATTGATTTATTAATTCTCATATTCAGTTGTAAAAACATAATCCAAGTCTACTGACCTAAAATGACCTTTGACCTTGTGACCTAGAATTTGTGTCATATGACTTGTGATAGTTGATAACCCTTGGGTACAAGTTTCATGGAATTTGAACAAACACTTTTGAAAATATGCTAAAAATTCAAAATCTTGATGTTGATGTCACAACAAAGTCTAAGTCTGTTGACCTGAAATGACCTTTGACCTTGACTTTGTGACCTGAAATTCAACTCACATGATTGGGGATACTTGATATCCCTATAGTCCAAGTTTCATTGACTAAGGACTTATACTTTCAAAATTATATCAAAAATTCAAAAACTTAACCTAAGGTTAAGTTTTTGATGTTGACGCCGTCGCCGCCGCCGTCGCCGTCACCGGAAAAGCGGCGCCTATGTCTCGCTTTTTTGCTACGCAGGCGAGACAAAAATGAATATTATAAATTTGGCAGCTTGTGCAATTGATTTGAGAACCTGGAATCTGTTTATTCCTACCTTTGTTGCCCATAAAGCAACTACAAAACAAATCTCAAGTCAAAACTGTAATAAATGGGTTGTGAACATTTTGAATGTAAATACCCAGTTGTACGACAACTGCTCAGATCTGAGCTGTGTCAATTTCTCTGAGTTGATTTCCCACACTAAATGAATGTGTAACTTCAACCCTAGATATCTTCAACTAGATAAAGCCCAGATCAATTTTTGCAGCAGCAAACATAGAGTCACCTAAATACCCACCAAAAGTTTCATTTGCCAACCTAGATGTTCGTCTTGCGTATTACCACAAAATGCTTCAGCCTTCAATGACAATATACGTAGCTCCAATAAGCTCCATGGTTAATTTCCAGCACTTACCCGATTCCTGACTTCAACCATAGACAAAACATTATACCTAACCTTAAACCCTTCTAACCTGAAACCATAACCAATTAACCATACACCTTTTGCGAAATAAAACCAGGAGGAAATGTCAGAGGTGTCATGGTACGGTGGATCATTCACTTGACTTTCATTCCAAAGACTCAAATGATTGAGGGTTCAAATCTCAGTCTGGCACTTATAACATCCTTCTGGTATCTACATTTGCCACTATTCACCTATGTTCATAGTACCGGTAGGTGTAAATGGGTATCTGGCAAATGCTTGGGTATTAATAATAACTGCAGCATTGATGCTGATGAGGCTTTCCAGGTTAATTTAAAAGAAATTCTTCTTCTTCTTATCATTACTATTATCATTATCATTATTAACATAATTGTTATTATCATTATTATCATTACTATTATCATTATTATTATCATTATAATGATTTAATTATTACTGGTAGTAGTAGTAGTATAATTTGTATTATTATCATATTTATTTTTATTTATCATGATTATTACTATTATTAATTATCATAGTTATCACCAAGGAATTTTCCTTTTGCAAATCATCTCAAAGATTTTGTTCCCCCCCCCCCGCACCTATCCCGTATTTGAACACTTACCATTGAGTAGCCATAGACTAAGATGGTCTTAGCATTCTTGTCGTGTTCGATTCTTCCCCCTCCAGGACAGCTGCAATTGATGCCCTGCTTTTCAAGTGCTGGAGTAACTTCATCGTAGATGTCGGCTGTATGGTCAATGACAAAGGGAAAGATGGTCGATATAAAGTTAAATATGTTAAAGCCATCTTATTACAAATTACAATTACAAGCCCCATTATTTCTATTTACCTGTGAGCAGTGTTTCTGTTTTTTAAAAATCTATCAAATAATACCAGAGTCCAAAATAGCATGAAGAGGATTATCATTTTAAAATTCAAGGTTGGACATCAGCAGGTTCACAATAGCTCACAATAGCTCTTCCCTCCCCATTCTAAAACTTGAACAGGGAGCCCATGGCCATGCATACAGAACCTACATGTAGTATAATGCAAAGCAGACTACCAGAAGAAAAAAAAAGGGGGGATGTTGAGCCTAGCATAAAAGAAAAATGAAGATATTGATAATCATGTACATAATCAATACTTGTAAGTTGTATTAATAATCCTATTAATACCATTATAAATCAAATCTTAATTAAGCTAAGACTTAGCGGATCTAGATCTGGATGATTTTTTTATTTCATATATTTTTCTGAAAAATCTTAAGCTTCACAGCTTGCCCCAATTCAAATATACATCATTAAGTATAGGGTTGTTTATTTCTTTTAAAAGTGTGCACACTGTTGACTGTATGCACGATTATCTAATTTTGTTTATTATGATATGTTCTGAGCAACAAAATAATAAAATAAATATCATTCATAAACATATGACTCAATGACTGATCTTCTTTTCTTACCATGGTATCCACAGTGGCTGTAGCCTCTAACAATATACTTTGTTTGATCTCCAACCGATAGTTGAATCAGGATATATTTGAATTTCCCCGACGCCTCAATATCCACATCATCAACTCTGCCCAAGGCTGCCAATGCCATCTTCTTAACTACAGTTTTAGAGTTTGTTTTGTGACTTGAAGTTGAGCCTTGACTGAGGGTTGAAGTCGAACTTGAAGCTTGATTGATGACACAGATGACAAAGAACAAGAACTTGCTTCTAACTATTGCTTATTGCCTTTGACTATGGTCCCTTCCTTGTTATGGTTGATTATCAGATTAGATCGATTTAACGATTCACGAATAAGACAAAGGAAACTAAAAATCCGCAAGAACAACAAGAAAAACAGCGGGTTGATCAGACCGGTTGATCCGACAGCAACAACTCAACAAGCGGAGCAATAATGAATTAAAACGTGAATAACTTCCAATTCCAAGGGTAAATGGGCTACCATTTGTTCTTACGTTAATCAGTTTAATTATTTAAACCATTTTTTCAATTCAAATATTTTGTAAATAATATAATATATACTTAATGTTTTTATTATGATGTAATGCAATTCAAGTTTCTATTAAACACAAATACATTATTCATTCCTTGATTAGAGCACTTGAAAAGCCTAATGTATTTCCAAGATGTCAGCCCCCTTGCTCCAACTTAGTCTACGTGGTTGAGATTGTTTCCCTTCATATTTCGAATATAATGAGCTATTTTTAGGGACTCTATTGTCCTCTGTTTATTGGAAACAACAATCAAATCACAATGTCTGGTAAAAAATTTGTGAAGAGTTGTCAGGACAACTGGCGAACAGTCATTCCGTATGTTCCTCGATCGGTGGTTTTCCTGGACGGTTCCGTCGCCGAAGCGCTCCACTGGACCTCCGGCGCAGCTACGCTGTTTCAAGCAGGAGCTCTGAACCTAAAGGAGTTTTCATCGTTCGAGGTATCATTCAATATAAGTGAAGGGCCCAAACATATGGGAGACCAACTGATGTTAAATGGGCTACTCGGCCCGGCCGTGTTAATAAGAATAAATATTAAAATCAATAAAATATATAATTATAAATAGTCTAGATCTAGATCTAGAAACTAAGAATAGATCTAGAGTCTAGGTCTAGAGGTCTAGATCTAGTCTAGATTAAGAAAATCAACAAAAGATGCATTTAAGAAAATCATGAAAATTGTGTAAAATATGTGGAGAACAGTTGAGTTTGACCCTAGTAGATCTAGTGACGTAGTGGAATCAGGCTAACTCGGCTCAGGGTAAAATGACAAAAACTGACTGTTTTTGCATGGGCCGAGCTGTCTTTGCTTTGAGCCGGGCCGAGTTAGCCCATATTCGACCTAGTCGCCCTATATTTTTACATGAACTGATTCCGGAGATTGTATTAATGTGCAGTTCCTGGGGGGGGGGGTCATTTTTTTCCTTTGGGGGTGGGGCTTTTAGTTTTCTTCCATTAAATGACTACATGTGCCTCTAAAGGTCTTTAATTATACCCTGCCTCCTCCAAGAACTGCTACCACTTGTATGGTTTTGCAGTTGAGCACAGAATGATTATCATATCTTCATTCTTTACCTCAGAGTTGTACCAAAGATGAAGTCAAGGCCGTATTCATCGTCAGTGACCAAATCACTGCCACAACCCAAGAGATCCTAGAAGACATCATCTGTGCCAGCCACTTCCAGTACTGTGTACTGATCACAACTCTGCCCGAGTCCCTGCATCAGCATCTATCAGGCAACGCAGCATCGGGAGGCGGAGAAGGGAGTGGCAACCAGTCTCTCTTTCAGGAGGTGGAGGAGAGAATGAGAGGATGGATGAGACACAAAGTAATCATGACTATTATTTTTTTCATTTCATTTCATTTCATTTCATATTTATTTTTTCATTTCCAACAAAATACAATACATGAAAACAAATACAATGTAAAATGTATACAAAACATAGTTACATTTGTATAAAACAAATCTTAATAGTAATTTATACATTTGAGGAAGACAAACATTGAATTATAAATGTAACTGCATTTAATCAGGGGCTAGTCTTATAAACAGTTGCGAACTTCTGATTAATCACAACTTGTTTGCGACTGATATCAATCACAACTATGTACATATTAGAGATAGGAGACTACAAAATATTGTAATTGATTTTTATCAATCGCAACTCTTTATAAGACACGGGCCCAGATAGTGTAATTTGTAAAGACTTTAACTCTTTGTAGAATTTGGTTTGTGTTCATTTAAAGAGCACTGCCAAAGGTTGTGGGTGGAGGCATTTTCAGACTCTTTATTGACTTTGCAAAGTGTTTTGTATAGCAGTCATAATAGAATAAATGAGAACATTCTATTTTCCTTGATATTAGCTTGTTTTATGTATGAAAGAATATTGCATACCATTCAGAGAGAGTCTACCAATCAGTGTGATATTTTTTGTAGTATGAAAGACAAAGAATACAAAATGCGAACTGTTGAAAACTATAATTTTATCACACAGAGGTACACCCACATCGTTAACAATTAAGATATGGAGCTGGTAAATACATGTACTATATCGATTAACCTTCATGTTAGCTAAAATATATGTTTTAAAAAGAACATCTTCTGAGAAAATATCACCAACTAATTATGCCTTTCATGTTCTGGACGCGTCTTTTCGTGACTTGATACTTGATGAGGTAATCCCTGAAGCAGCTTTTCCAAGCTATACTGGTATGGGATGTGTTGTGCCAGCAGGTGAAGGTGCAGACAATAACAGAAAGATGTAAAAATTTCTATATACAATAAAACTGATGTTTTGCTATGCTACCTATCTGTATTTCATTTATTTTCAAGACTACCGTGTATGAAGCTGACGTGGTGCATATTCCCCTCTCTGTGGCTTGTACGTCACCCAACCTCTTCTTCTTGCCGTCGTTTACCACTCTCTTCCCTCTTTTGGACGCTGATCTGTTACCTATCAGGAATTACATGCAGGCTAATGTGAGTTCAAAGGATGTTTACTCCTCCAGTTAGCAACACTGGTAGTATTCATGCCATGGGCTGCTTGATTTTCTGAAGAAAATATAATGTTTTGAAATAGGGAAAAGTTCCCCTTGAAAATTAATTCAAAATTTCAAATTTTAATTTCTGCCCATTTGCACTTTCAAAAAGCGTAAATAATTGTAATTAATATTTCCTTTTTCTGGGTTGGAATGACTTCAAGGTCCTGTATATTGGATAATTTATTTTCTAATATTTTTTTGTTGGGGGGGGGGGTAGGTATTGGATATGTTCTTTTCTAAATTATCAACCCATTAACAAAGAAATTGAAAATACCAGATTCCACATGATTTGAATCAGTTGTTGTTTGCAGTTTGTTTGTTTATTTACTCATTTGTTCATTGCTTGTTTGAGTTTTTGATAGCTCATTTGTTTGTTTGTTTGATTGAGTGATATATTTTATTTATCATTCATTTATTTGAATTTAAGGTTGAGAAGAAGCCTCCAGAGAGTGTGTCTGATGTTGATATCAGCATGCTGCCTGATGAGCTACAACGGGACATCAAGGTTAGTAAAAACAGAATGTCCTCACTATCCATAAAACTTTCATTGCCATCGATGCCAATTGGCACAATCGCTCGTTTACCATATGTGCAGATCAGCACACAACAATAGGCACCAATTTACTGAAGGATTACTTTGTGCAATACAATGGCTTTACAAATTGCTCATTACCGGTCTTGATTAGCCCCATGATAACCCTTTTAAAACCTGTAAATCTGTAGATTAGTCTTGCATTGGTAAATTAGTATATGTATTACTACCGTATCTAACTTAAACCCCTTTTTCTTCCTCTCTCTCTCTCTTTCTCTCTCTTCCAGTCTCATTTCTCTTGCCGATAATTCTTTCCATTTCTGTCTTGCTTTCCATATCCTGCAGTTCTTAAAGTTCTTAGTTTCAAAATATGTAGAGCAAAATGAATTTATTAATTCTACTGCCTTACTGTGATTTTCCCTTTTTTTTTTTTTTTTTTGATTCACTTTCATTTTATTTTATACTCCCAGATGATGGTGTCCACTCTGAGTTGTCTCTGTGAGACCCTCGATGTGAACGAAGACATCTATTGCCTGGGACCCACAAGCCGAGTGATTGCGGGAGAATTAGCCCAGCTCGTATCTGCAAGGGCCAGAAGAAAAGTAAAAATCAGGGCCCTATTTCATAAAACTTGTTATCAGTAACAAGTTACAATATCTGTTATAAGCTACTGAAATCGTGGCATTTGATTGGCTGATGGCAAATTTGTCATAGAAATTTAGCATTTGTTATTGAGAATAAGTTTTATGAAACAGGGCCCTGTCTCCAACCTTGGCTGTTACACATATAAATGTAGCTTGTTTTGGGTGTCATGGTACAGTGGTTCATTCACTCGACTCTCAATCCAAGTGTTGAAGGTTCAAAACCCAGCCCGATTCTAACGTCCTTTGGCAAGACATCAATTCACATTTTGCACTCTCCACCCAGGTGGTAAATCGGTACCCGGTAGGATGCAACAGTCTTCATAGTTTGCTCAGGTTGTGAACATCTGTAAAGTGGCATCTGGCTAAAATGCTCCCCAGGGAGTGAAGAATGTGCATTATTATGTATGAAGCACTATATAAGCCCGGAATATTTTATTTTTTTATTTCCTAAGAACATGACAATGGTTTCGATATCATGGTCTAGAAATTATGTTGCAGTTCTATCCTTTATTTCAATTACAGTCAAACCTGCTTTAGTGACCACCCGTTTACAAAGATCACCTGTCTACAACAAGCACATTTCTTGTTTCCCTTGAAAAGGGTTTCTCATTGAAACATGTACTAAAGGAACCTGTCTACAAAGACCACTTTTTGTGTTTCCCTTGGGCGGTCGCTGTAGATAGGTTTGACTGTAACATGATTTTGTTAGCAAGAAACTCTGAAAAGCTAAAACAAGTACATCTGATATCATCTAGCTACTATTACTGGTACTATAACAATAATCCTTTTATTTATTTTTCTCTTCAGAATCATTTGTAGAACTACTTGCAATACGTGCAAAATGTGCATTGCAATTCAAGATTGTTGTTGTTGTCATCATCTTTCACTGTTGTTGAAACTGTCTGGATATAATTTTTGTCATCGTCGTCAAATTGTCTAATGTCTAGAGATATTTTCGTCGCTGCTGTTGACATTGGCTATTTTGTTATATCATTAGTAGCATTATTTGTCCCCATAATTGTTATAAGTGAGTTTTCACAACGGGCGACGCGCTTTCTACGACGCTAATCTTAATAGCGGGGGGTCGCACTCGGAGCAAAAATTTCTGTGTAGCGTCCAAACCTACTGCGGTATTCAGCGGAATTAGCGTCGGGAGTCGAGCTACACTGTAATATGGGCTTGATCAGCCAATCAGAGCGCTTGTTTACTTTCACATGTCCAAATGGGCAGTACGACTTTTCTGACGTCACGTGGAAGCGTGGAAACTCCCGCGTATTCAGAGTTGCGAAACTGCAAATAGATCGCACAGGAGCCAGAGGACGGAGACGGTCACAGCTCATTTAAATACCCCGTAGTCAGCACTTGGGTCACTGTGCAAAAAATTGCTATTGTTATACTTAACATCTCACATTACGTATACTTAATTGCTAGGCATGCTGAACTCAGATACAAGTGTATTTTTCCTCTCTCTTATCTCCCTTACCAGGCTGCAACTAATCGAGCCAGCATTCTCTTCATCGATAGAACCTTGGACATGGTGGCACCCACGTCTCACAGCAGAGACTCATTCGCTGATAAGATCATGTCTGCCCTGTCCCCTCTAGAAGGTCATTCATGTGATGTAGCTGTGGATATGTCTGCCCTGTGCTCTCCCGGAAGGTACCAGATTAATCTTTAATTCATTGAAATGTATAGGGTGTAGTACAGTGAATATCAATAACTTAATATATACCATTTTTCATCCTCATTGGAAATTCTGTTTGGTTTAAACAGTACAATCATAGGTGTATTGATCATGTAAAGTCTTGAGATTCATGTCCATCTATGGTTTTGTTTGTTTGGGGGGTTTACCCATTTGAGTGTAGATGTTTGATTACTTTACCGAGTATATAGGTGTGATGGAAGAGGGTGGAAAAAGGAGAAATAATCAATTTATAGGTTAATAAATATATAGTACAAGAATTATGATGTAATTAATATGGTGCAGTTTATTATAGCAAAATATGTTAAAGGCAGGGTATTTTACCTACATCGCTACCGCTGCTGTATTGTATTTTCAATTGCGCCATCTTTCGGTGAAGCCGTAGATAGAGCGATTTCCGGTTCTTGTACCCAAAGATCGCCACCCACGTTAATCAGTTGATGATGCATTGTGGGACATGGCTGTCAAAACATCAGGACATTGTGAGCAGCAGAGGGCAGTATCTGCTGATCTGAAACCTGAAGTTGCTTCAGTAGAATACCCTGCCTTTAAGAGGCATTTACTGTTAGGTTATGTCCTAGAATAACTTAAATATGCATGAGATTAAAGATATTGATGGTTTAGCAAGTAGTATGGCGCAGTTTATATACCATTTATTATCTTCCTCAGATATTCTGGTTTGTTTTAATAATTTTATATTCACTTAAAAACAGTCCACATAAATTGAATACATTGTACATCTAGTTGAGCATTCATCCATTTCCTAGTACTGGTACATATACTCTCTTAATTGCATGTATAATTATATCCCGTCTCTCTCTCTCTCTCTCTCTCTCTCTATCTATCTCCACCTCCCCCTCTCTCTCTCTCTCTATCTCTCTCTCTTTCTCTCCCCTCTTTCTCTCTCTTTCTCTCTCTCTCTCTCTCCGCATCCCTCCCTCACTCACGCTCTCTCTTTGTCTCTTGGTAGTCAGTACAAACCTAGTGTCTTGCTACCAGGTTGCCTGGCTCATCCTCATGATCAACAATCAAAGGATTTACTCCAGACACTTACAACCTCCAAACAAAAGGTAGGTCCTCTCTTTAACACAAAACATTGTTCATTGCAACAAACAGTATTGGTGTAAAGAAATATTCACCTTCAGATACAAGCATCGTTGCTTTATCTGGATCCCACAAAAGCTTGGGTTGAAATCCATGAAAAGGATGTACAAAATGAAATACCGGTAAAGTAAACTCTGCGAAAGTATAATCTGTTGGAACTAGACAAAACAACATCGACTTATGTAAAATTTGCCTTAAGAAGTGTAAATAACATATGTTTTGCATACTTTGGTCAAAAACTGTATTCAAATTAGGGAAAATTTGACCTGTGCAACTTTGAGATGTGCAGATCATTTACAAAGGGTTAAAAATTTGCCACTTATTTTTACAATGAAAAAATATTTCAACAGTGCCCCCCTCCTGGATACTACACTAATACTGGATGCCAAATGCAGTTTCTTATTGGGATTGGTTGTCCTGTATGTGTTTCTTTATTCAGGAGAGTCTGATGGAGGTGAATCGACGAGTCGTAGAGACAATAACAAGAGAGAGGCTACCCTTTGATCCATCGGCTGCCAAGATTGGACGCATCAATGCAGATTCACTTCAAGCTCACCTCAACAATTTCAAGTATGTACAATTACTTTTGCGTTATTATTGTTTGTTTTGTTATATTTTTCAATGGAACCTTCTCTTTTGTTTTTCTCCTGACACGGACATGTGCTTTCAGTAGTTGGACTCAACATTAACGGTTGCCTGGGACTCATAGACCCCAAGACTAATTGCACCTCCCTCCGTCCCTTTCAAATTTCTAAGTTGGGGCTCATGCTGACAACCAGTCTTGACCCCCTACCGAAAAAGGTTAGGGCGTGGAGCTCTGATATTAAGTACACTATAAAATTGGATCCCGGTAGTCTATGTTTTAGAAAGGATATTTGATTTATCGCAAATGGTAAATGTATTAGCAAAATTGTTGACTTGGTTTAATATTCAACATGCCAAATAGCTCCTGATCAAGTCATGATATAGACAGAATTTGAAAGGATTTGGTTTACAGGAGAGCTACTGCAAGATACTATGAAGAAATGGAAATGTTTAGCCCTGTAATTGAACTTTTATATTTCATAATAAGGTAAAGTTTTTAAGCCTGCAGTAAAGCAGAAATATTATTTTATTTCACAATTCTTACTCCAGTAAGGTATAGGGCCCTCTTCAGTTTATGTATGTGTACATGCATTTTATTTTTCTTTATCCACTTCTACGTATTACCCCTACAGGGACAATCCAACAGCCTTCCGCAATGCATGCCCTCTGCTCCAGCTAGCCTCTGCTTGTGTACAGACACTCACCAGTCCGACCCTTTCTCGGTGGGACGATTTGCAAACCACTGAGAAAATGCTCCTGCAGAATGCTGGAGAAGGGAACGGCCCATCGGTCACCAGTATCATCTTGGATCTGCTACAGAACCAAGCGAAGCAGGGGAGGTATAAAAAACAATTTTGTCACGTGGGTATCACAAGATTGTGTGACACGTGCTCCAGCTACCATTTTTCCCTGGTCATTTTTCTTTCGCAACTCAAACTCCCCCTTCAATCGTGGACCCTAAACCATACCTGTTCCAAATTCTAACCTATGCCGTTTAAAAAGGTGACCCAAAACCTAAGTGGTAACCTGAAACCTGGAGCAATTGTAACCTAAGTAAACTTTTGATCACTTATCAGAGCCCTTTATTTGACACAATGATTTTTAGAATCAATCTCGTTTTGTTTTTTGTGAGGTTTAGAGATTCTTGATGAAGAAAGTCTTAATTGGAAAAGGAATAATGTAAAACCCCAACTTTTGTATGTAAAATGTGTTGCAAATTTAACAGGTGTACAGATTCACGTAACTTTTTTCTGTGAAGGTACAACACTAGGACTTTTGCGATGTGCAGAAATTTTTACTTCATGAAAACTCTCTCTCTTGATAATGCAAGCAGAAACTCACGCCGTTCCAATTGAGTGCACATAGTGGAGAGAAACCGGAAATCTGAGTGATCACGTGATCGGAATATTTTACCCTGATGCGCGCTACACTTAAATCTCAGGTTGACCTAGCAGTCCCACAATACTTTGCGTTGACTTTAACCAAAGTTCGGGTTCGGGTGATAATATCTGTAAAGCTCTCAGAAACTGTATTTTGTATTAAGCGCTATATAATCTAGCTTGTTAATTTTATTATAATTATATCATAATGTGTTAAGTGCTATACAAGAACACATTAATATTATTATTATTATAATACTCTTAACTAGATCGTACTCCTTGGAAGAAGTTGTTCAGCTGATTCTGTACGGCTACTCACTGACGGGGGATGAAGCAGGGGGAAGCTTTGAAGAAGATCGCCGGCTACAGAAGCACATTAGTCAACTCATAACACAAGCACCAGACAATTCAGAAGTAGTGAGGCTGCTAGGTGAGCCATAGAGAATTATTGAACACTAGCTTTTGGGTATCAGGCATGTTCAGGCCTCACATTACCCAAAGGTCATAGGTAAAAGGTCGTGAGGAATTTCACTGTGATGCCATACTGACTCAATGCCCTTTTCCAAATCAAGCTTTAGACCACTTTGGCCCTGCTTATAATATTAGCTGAGCACTGAATAATTTTTCTGCCTTTAAAATTACTATTTGCAAGGCATAGAGCATCAGTAGCGATTGTCTCTCATTAAAGAGCGGCAGGGAGTTTTCATGGGTGTATACAAACATATACTGTACGACAAAGTACTTCTATGCATGAAATGTAGGAATTTTACAAAGAAATTGATAATGTCTTTAATCATCATCATTACCTGCTCAGCAGAAAAACGTAGAAGACAGGCTTGAAAATATATGTATTATTTATTGTATACAGTGACAAATTTCTTTCATTTAAACCTAAAAAAACTTTTCTGATAACGGATATATCAAAATGTTTCTATTTCATGCCATTTTAAATGTTAAATCTACCAATTCCTTAATATGTCACATATATTTGTCTAGTATGTCATTTGAACATTAGTAATTTGTGTCCTTGTAAGAGTGTCTCCTAATGACAATTTCAAATGAATATTCTTGATCATTGTGTGTTTAATAGTTGGAGAGGAGAGATCCGAAGCAACAGCTCAGAAGGTGGCAAAGGAGATCATGTCTAAAGTGAAATCCATTTCAAGAGCCAGGAATACCCTGCAAAGGTTCATGTGAGTGTAGAGCAGTGAACTTTTCTCTCTTTAACCCATTGCCTATTGGAACCGGATGGTTCGTGTATTAAACACATGGGGAATATGAGAATTCACTAGTTAATGGGTTAAATGAAACATACATCCTTAAATCCAGATACATTTCTCTATTAATAATAACATACTGAAGCATATAGTGATAAGATAAATCTGCCAGTTGTGACTCCTTCCTGTATGTGTATTAAATATGTTTGAATTTGTTTTTTGTGCTGTTCGGTTGTGTGTACATAGTCTTATTCAAATGTTTTTGGTAAAAACTTGTGAGGAAGCTTTATGCAATGTTCATTTGAAAATTACCAAATCATCTAGAATTCTCATGTTCATGTATTATTATACGTTTATCATGCTGTCCAAAAGTTTGCTCTGATCTAGAGCCTTTTCACTTGAATATTAGCCTATAAAATGTTTCTGTTTCTCTAAGTTACATAAGTGATGTTTTCATCTTAGTACTACCACTTACCTATCTGGCTACCCCTATAAGCCTGAGGGGGAGGGGATGCCCCTCTCTGGCTGAGATACAATCCAATTAACCCTCCTCTTTAGGTTTAACAGAATCTTTCTTTGTATCTCTCATACAGGGATATTTTCAATCTTGGTTCAATCTTTAGAATTAATTCAATCTTTAGGGTTAATGGAATCTTTCTATGTGTCTCTAATACAGGATATTTTCAAATCTTGTTCAATCTTTAGGATTAATTCAATGGAATCTTTCTATGTGTCTCTAAGACAGGGATATTTTCAATCTTGGTTCAATCTTTAGAATTACTTAAATCTTTAGGGTTAAATCAATCTTGAGGGGGTTAATGGAATCTTTCTTTGTGTCTCTGATAACAGGGACGTTTTCAGTCCTGGTACTGCCACTCATCCATCAAGCTACTCGCCCCTCGTGAAGCAAGTCATGAAGAGTGTGTTTGACCCGTCCAAGCCTGATCTGGTCGACATTGAGTACAAGTCCAGTGGATTCAGAGACCTCCTCAAAACAAAATTCAGGTAACTCATTAGGCCTGTCCTCATCAGCTCAAGATTGCCAAATATCCTGCTATTTGAACTATCCCTATCGCAAATTATCCAGTTAATTTGCATCTTCATCAGCCCAAAGCCCAAAGTTGCAATTAGCAGGATATTTGGTCGAGATGATCATCCTAATATATCTTGCGCTAGTTTGAAAAATATCCCGCTATTTGTCCAGTGCGTTTCACCAGCTCGAAGACTCGCACTATGCGCGAACACTGAGCAAAATATCTCGATCTAATTTCTCGAGCTCGAGTTTCAACTTTCAAGGTCAAGTCCCGAGCTGATGAAGACGCGATTTGTAACTTCTGGATTATTTCCCAAATCGGAAATAGCAGGATATTTGGCAATCTCGAGCTGATGAAGACAGGCCTATAATTGTTCTGTAGTTTTTTTTTTCTACCTCTTGGATGCATGTTTGATGTACATGTAGAGGTGTCGCGGTCGAGCGGATACGTTTTCGGACTTTGGATGAAATTGTTCGCAGTTCAAAACCCGCTACGGCACTTATGTCCTCTGGCAAGACATTAATCTACATTTGCCACTCTCCACCCAGGCGTGATATGGGTACTGGTAGGAAAGAATTCCTTGAATGCTGTGAGCACCGAAATCGGTAGCCTAGTTAGCAGAGCCGGGGTAATATTGGGAAACCTTGAGCAACTTTAGTGGTGGATATGTGTGCTATAGATATATCTTTTATTATTATTATTATTGTTATTGTTGTCGTTTGTGTTATTATTATCATTTGTTGATGCTGTTTAGAAATTTCTATTTGAACAGAGCATTGCCAAATTCAGTCATTTTAGAGCATATTTTTACCTTGAAATGAACCTAAGCAAAACGCTGAAGTGGAGGTGGGGGGGAAGGGCAGGGTATGAACCCCTACCATGTATTTCTGGTCATTGATCACATCATAGATTTCAGATGTGTATTTTTAAAAATGATATTTATGTAACATCTTCCTATATATAAGGATATCATTTACAATCGTTAATCACATAGCCTTGCTTCTTATAAACTTTTTTTTTTAAATGCATGATTTTCTATTCATCCTTCCTTGTCCGAATGGAAAAATGGTAAATTCTTTTAGTAATAATTATTCTTTTGAACACGTGTCAAAATTTATCTGATTTTTGTCTCGCCTGCGTAGCAAAAAGCGAGACATAGGCGCCGCTTTTCCGGTGACGGCGACGGCGACGCCATCAACATCAAAAACTTAACCTAAGGTTAAGTTTTTTAATTTTTGATATAATTTTTAAAGTATAAGTTCTAAGTCAATGAAACTTGGACTATAGGATACTCAAGTATCCCCAATCATGTGAGTAGAATTTCAGATCACAAAGTCAAGGTCAAAGGTCATTTCAGGTCAACAGACTTGGACTATGTTGTAGCATCATCATCGAAAACTTAACCTAAGGTTAAGTTTTTGAATTTTTGATATACTTTTGAAAATATAAGTTTTTTGTCAATGAAAATTGGACTATAGGGTTATCAAGTCTCCCCAATCATGTGAGTAGAATTTCAGGTCACTAAGTTAAGGTCAAAGGTCATTTAAGGTCAAAAAAACTTAGACTTTGTTGTGGCATCAACATCAAGATTTTCAAAATGTTTCTTCTTCGTTATTTTTCAACCGATTTTGATTCTGATTGTTTCATATGATAGGGCTAGGAAGGGGATTTAAAACTTTTACACAGAATGGTGAAATTCATTATCTATGCTAATTTATGCAAATTTATTCAAAATCACAAAAAATGCTTCGTCTCCTTCATTTCTCGACCAATTTTTATTTGGTTTGCTTTATCTGGTAGAGCTAACTTTGGTACACTAAATTTCTACACAGAATTTTGAAATTGTTCTCCATTAATTAATTATGGTAATTTATGCAAATTTATTCCAAAAATAATTTAAAGATCCCATTTTTTTTTTTTTTTTTTGACCAGTTCAAAAGTGTACCACATAAAATTTACGATTTTTTGTTGTAGCGAGAAGCGGATGAGCGCTACGTCATTGACGTTCTGGTTTATCATATTGAATTGCGTTATGCAGGCGAGACCGCCGAGAGCGTTTCCCTTGTTTTTTATTTAAGCCAGTTTGATGCAGATTGATAACATGGGATTCAGACTTTTCATATAGAGTCAATTGGATTTCAAAAATTGACCTAAAGAAATAAACCTCAAGATTTTCTTTATTGAACTAAAGATGGTGGACACAGCTGGCAGCATCAAATATTCCAACATGCATTTCTCAAACCAAAGCTCAACCATCCACAAACGATTTTTTTTTTTTTTTTTTTTTTGTTGTTCATAATCGATTTTAAATTTTTCTTTTGGTTCAGATTATTCATGAATGTCGGTAAGCCCCGCCCTAGCGACCATCCTCTGCTCGTCGTCTTCATGGTGGGAGGGGTCACATGTTCGGAGGTCAAGCACATTAAGGAGACGGTAGCATCCCTATCACCTAACACTCAGGTGAGAATCAGTTTCAAGCTTTGAAAAATTTCCCTTCTACCCAAGCGGTAGCTATCCCGCACTTTACATATCAAACATACCTGCCAACTGTTCCGATTTAATCAGAATATTCAGATTTTCTGAATTTTTAGGACCTAAGAATATAGAATATTCCATTTATCAAAATTCTTAAAGACCAATTTTTTTAATTTTTGTTTTTAATTATTTGTCTAATTGCCAAATTTGGCTTGTTTAACCATGTGCCATGATTTGAGAGTTCGAGTATGGCGTGTGTTGAATGGCTGCACAATTGAGCAGAGAATTTGTCTTTGCTTTTTTGTACAGATTTAGCGCGTATTGCTAGTTACACTGTCGCTGCATACATGGCCATGGTAAGGCCATGTGGTCGCCTGTAAAGGGTACAGATTTCTTATTTTCAAATGTTGGCAGGTATGGTATAAGGGGTACAGGGTGTAAGGGGTCATTGACGCCTGAGAAAAGGGAGATTAGGGACATATTATATTTACAGAGAGAAAAGGAAGATAAAAATAGAAGATACATGTGAACACGGTTAAGGTACGTGTACGATAGGGTTCCAAAGTACAATGGAATAGTGAACATTCACGACAATCATTCCACATTTTGTTCTTTGACTCAATAACTTTTGCATTTATTTTTGTTTCATGATTATATTGTGTTTGATGCCCGGAATTTATAAAAGGAAAAAAAGCTTTCAAATCTTTAAATTGGCAACATTTCATTTCATTTTATTTTATTTTATTTCAACACGGATCACTTGCTTCAGCCAATGGCTGTTCTTCAGCAAGTCCATGCAACATGATGATGAGGTTATCTTGTACACTTCTCTTATTTATACAGATTATGTCAACATTTCCTTATTTATAAATATCATAAATTTATGCTACCAACAGCATTTGTGATTGTATTGTTTTTTTCCTAACTTATCTCTTCATGTAGCAAACACTTTTTCCCAGCATACTCTGATGTTGGATACCAATTAAAAGGTTTTAGTGTGTTTGTACTTTTATATATATTTGACAGTATCTCTGTTTGCTCAATATTTTCAGGTGGTGGTAGGATCAACAAGAATCCTAAGAGAATCAGATGTCCTGGACCACGTCTTTGGACAAAAGCCACTTTCGTTCTGAAACACCAGAACATTGTGATGCATCTACTAGATACTGTGAAACCTTGGACTATGTCTTCGGACAAGTGCTACTTTCATACTGAAACACCAGTATGTTCTATCGGATGGATTAACTAGAATCATAAGAGAATCAGATGTCTTAGACCACGTCTTTAGACAAAAGCCACTTTCGTACTGAAACACAAGAACATTGTGATGCATCAACTACATGTAGATACTGTGTTGCCTTGGACCGTGTCTTTGGACAAAAGCCACTTTCGTACTGAAACCCCAGAACATTGTGATGCATCAACTAGAAACTGTGATGCCTTGGACATTGTCTTTGGACAAAAGCCACTTTAGTATCGAAACACCATAATGTTCTATTGGATGGATCAACTTGAATCTAAAGAGAATGTTATGCCAGCCACAGGCATGCCCTTGTTAACTCCCTAGAAAGTACTTTAGAATAGATCAACCAGAATCTTGAGAGCCCTGAGCCATATTCAATTCAGTACATGAATTACGTCAGTATTTCACTTAGCATTTTACTTGGCTAAGTAATATGTCTTAATTCATATTCAGATCACATCTGAGAATTTTGCTTTCGTAAGCCGACTTTAAAGTAAAATACTTACTGATCATCATCGTGACGTCACATTGTCAATCAAAAATAATGCGCAATTAATGTGTCACATTAAATGGACGCTAATTTAATTGTGCACAGGTTATGATACTGCGTTAGAAAACCATATGCCTGCCAATCAAATCCTCCAAATAGTTGACCTTAATCAGCTAGGGAGTTGTCTTAAATTTAGAGTAAAATGCTTGGCTAAAAGCTTCAACTGAATACAAAAGTTGGCTAAGTATTTTATGTAAGCCGAAAAAACTAAGTAAAATACTGGTATTTCTGACATAAATGTTAAATTCAGTACTTGTCCTTAGGGTGTTTCAAAAAGTCTAAGGTCAACTTTAAGTTGGACTTAAAGGTACACTTTAAGTTGGACTTAAAGGTACTATGTCCCATTTGCAGGCCAAAAAATACTAATTTAGAACTTCCCTAAAAAAGGTGGGGCTTGAAAATGTATTCAAGTGGGAAAATAATGACTATTAGTTGTCAAATCGACTTTAGGGCTATAGAGCCCAAAAGTAATAGTCTTGAATTTCAGACAATTGTACCAAATGGTCATACGTTTTATGCTGGGCAAAGATTCAATCAGTTTAATCTTGGCCATCACAAGAAGTGGGTTATTGATGTAGACAAATGCTCATGTACCCTTTACAACTCTTTTCATGTATGGTATTACCAAAGAAGAAAAAAGGCCAGTCAGTCAGTCACTCAAGTGTCTGACAGTGAAGTCTAGCAAGTAAACGGGTTTCTTTGCATGATTTGAATATGAGGACACTGCTAACTTTTAAATTTCACAGATAGGACATACATGACATATTCATAATTCCTGCAAAGTTCTACAGCATTTGAGGTTGGCTGCAAAAGGGACATAGTACCTTTAACTGTGACGGGCCATTCATTCCACTGGCTGCACTCCACATTATGATCTTTAGATGATATTTTTTCCTCCAATAATGAATTATCAAAAAATGTGAATTCTGTGACAATGATTTGTACGTCTCTTGAAGAGACCAATTCCAGTAAATGGTGGGAGGAAACAGTGGCATGAATAGCCTGCCATAGTTAAGTACAACTTAAAGTCGATCTTAGTCTTTGTGAAACACTCCCCTGGTATCTTTGACTAAGATGTCTTTGAACAGGAGCCATTCTCCTACTGATCCTTTGACAGTCCTGTCCAATGGATCAACAAGAACCCTGAGGAAATCTATTCTGGTGGGCCATGTCTGTGGGTCAAGACCATGGACCCGTTTCACAAAGGCTTTTTTCAGTGACAAATTTGTTGATAACCAATCAGAAGCAAGGATTTCAGTAGCTTATAACAAAAAACTGTCATTTGTCACTGATGATAAGTTTTGTGAAATGCACCCCATGACTCATGTTTTTCAAAGGATGAAGTCCAAAGATGTGGTATCACACCTGGAGACAAGTGCAACCGATGTCTTACAATGGAAATGTAATACATTCCAGTGATGCCATAACTGGGAATATATGTAATATATTCTGGCACCTTGCTGCCCGAACGTGACGATATTCAGGCACCTGGCTGTCAAAGAGAAATTCTGGCACCTCGTTGACTAATTATGTGGGTATTCACATGAGGATGAAGATGATGACACATAGTTCTTCTGTACATCTGCATTAGCACAACCAGTGTCCTTTGGCAGGGAAAGGGGACCAGATAATGTCCAAAATATCTTACAAGCAAATTCTTAATGAAGTAATGGAAGTATGGAAGTATGAAGTAATGGAAATGTGAAGTAACTATAATGGATCATCAAAGAATTAATATATATTTTAAGCTTCTACCAACCTTAAAGGGAAAGTCCACCCCAAAAATAAGTTTGTTTCGATAGAGGCAGAATAATAAGAAAATCAGGTGAGTGAAAGTTTGAGCAAATTCTGAATGAAAATAAGAAAGTTATGAATTATTGAAGTTGTGATCAATCAAATACAAATTGGCAACTCTGTGACTTATTATACGAGCTCTCCTTCATTTGCTTTGTGCATAATATTCCATAAAATCATGTTTTCTTTGTTATTGATGACGGAATATATATTTGTTCCTTGCAGGGGGAGTATAGAAACATATTTGCAATTATTATATTTAGGGTGCATGTATGGTTGAAATTTTTCTTGAGGGAAAATGAAAAATTTAGATTTTTTTAGTACTGAGCAAATGGAAGTTGAGCTCGCATGATACGTCATAGAGTTGCCAATTTGTGTTTGATTGATCACAACTTCAAAAATCCTAACTTCCTTATTTTTAATCGGAATTTGCTCAAACTTTCACTGACTTGTTTCTCTCATTTTTCTACTCCTATTGAAACTAACTTAATTTCAGGGTGGACTTTCCCTTTAAAGCTAAAAGCCCCAATGTACTTCATGTACTTGTAGCTACTTGCTCTCTCTATGTATAAAACAATGCCTAAGAGGTGCCTGTTGGTCCCCCATAATCCTCTTTTTATTATGTTAATTGAGAGCTGAGTTGATGAAATAGCCACCTATCAGTGACCTTGCTGGGTGGTCTAATCCCCTTGGCCAAACTAGTTCAGACAGGCTTTAAACTACAAGTTATGATTACCCCCAACCAATGAAAATGTTATGTATCATCAAAGAATTATTGTTAAATTTAGGAGCCCAAACTTCCATCCATGATGTCATATTGCTCATAAGAATCAACACTAAAAACCAGATATCAACAAGAAAGTGTTTGTGAAGTGTTCATCATGGATAAATAAAGTTATTTCTCGTATGAATGTGTAATGAACATACTTCGTATGAATGACTTTGTAAACAAATTATATGTTGTGCAGAATATATGAATACATGTAGAAATATATATAAACTATGGACAAGATTCGTTGATCTACCTGGTTATTTTTCTGTGGCTGATTCAGACGTTTGGACTAAAATATCAGGCTGTATGCAAATTGTGTGATTGTTTGGATGCAAACTGTGTGAAGGTTTATATGTGTTTATGTGTTATTGGTTTTTTCATACATATGTACTGCCATTTGTTTGACTTTTCTTGTCAGGAACATTTCTCTCTCTTTTTTCTTTGAATTCCTTACTATTTCTCTCCCTCTCTCTAACTCCTCTTTTTCTCACCCTCTCTTATCTATCATTCTCTCTTTTCTCTCTTCTTTTTTTTCCCTTATCTTTTCTCTCTCATTATTCCATTTTCATTTTCCTTTCTTTTGTTATTTGATTTATGTTTAAATCACTATTATACTCTTAATTGTGAGAGCATTAAAGGGGAAGTTCTTCCTGATATTGAGTTGGCTTTACTAGAAGCAGAAAATGAAAACAAACGGGGAAGTGAAAGTAAGAGCAAAAAATGGATACAAAATAAGAAAGTCATGAATGTATGAACAATCAAACACAAACGTACAACTCTGACGTATCTATCTTGCGAGCTCCCCTCCCATTTGCCTTCTACTTAAAAACTTCACAAATTTATATTTTCCCTCAAGAAAATTTTCAATCATACATTCACCCTTAATATAATTATTGCAAATATGTTTTTATAAAACCCCTGTATGAAACGAATCTATTTCGTCATCAATAACTTAGAAACTCAAAGTTTATGAAATTTAATGTACAGAGCAAATTTGAGAGGAGCTCGCATCATACGTCACAATGTTGCCAACTTGGATTCCATTGATGACAACTTTAAAATTCATAACTTTCCTATTTTCAATCAGATTATTAGACTTGTATTCTGCTTAATGTCAGGGTGGACTAGTCTCTTTTAATTTGTTTAAGTAAAATGAACGCATGACAAGTATTTCGGTTACCAGGCATCATTTGACACATGGCATGCATTAATTTCAAATACATGACGGGGAAAAAATATTTAAAACAAAAAGAAAACAAATACATGACGAAAATGTCCTTTGCCCGGGCTGCATGAGCAGGGTTAATCATTAATAGAAAGGGATCTATTGCGGTATTCAGTATCAACTTAGCAAATTCGTTTCTCATCATTCCAGCAATCCACTTACATTTATTTACATTGTGTGTGTATTTAGCTTCTGCTATTTTGATAGATAGAATTGTATTAGTAAAATACATATGAACTCTTTGGCACCTCGTTGAACAATCGGCGGAGAGAATACAAATATATACATGTGGCTATATAAGTAGCAAACTAAAAAGTACTCCCAAAATCGTTCACAGTGATTATTTGAACAAGATGGGATGGGCAGAGATCCTCTCCTGAGTATTTGATGGACTTGCTGTTCCCACACTTTTCAAAAATCCGGCCCGTATTGACTTTACACACCGGACTTAGGTGGGTGTTTTCAAAAGGAGGGAACATGCATATGCGTACCCTAAATAACACTGAGTGGGGGGGGGGGGGGGCGCCGGGCCCCTACTTCACCATTTTCATTAGTGCTATGGTGTCTCAGTGGTGAATTTCAATTCGATTCAATTTTTCAATTCAATTCATTTCCACTTTAAAAACAATTAACAAATTAATAACAAATACATAAGAATAATAGTGGCGGGATCACGTTAAGCACTAATTGGCTTATTAAAAATGACCCCTTAACAAGTATACACACTACATGTTATACATTGTAAGAAAATTGCCGTTTGCTCTATAACTAGTTCGTCTATTACCCAAATAGTCTATTCCCATTAGGCCTAAAAAAAAAATTAAAAAAAAGATTTCCGACCGACCGTCTACTTATCATTTGATCTATCGACCGTTTAGACTAAATTTCATTTGGTATTATCTCCAATTTAGTCTACTATACCCATTTGGTCTATTTCTCATTTAATCTAATTTCCAGTTGGTCTAATTCCTAGTTTGTCTTCTGTCCATTTGTTCCAATAATCGTTTAATCAAAAATAATATTACTCATCAAATGATTATCAGACATTTTGAATGGTAGACGAAATTGGCAATTAGACCAAATGAATATTAGCCTTAACGGTCATTTGACCAATGTATAAGTAGAAGAAAAAGAGAAAGAAAAGAAGAAAAAGAAGAAGAACAAGAACAAGAACAAGAACAGGAAAATTGATAGATGGAGAAAGATAAAAAGATAAATTATAAAAAGGAAAAAATGAGAGGAAAAAAAAAACGTGGAACCATCCAACACCATCCTCTCGCTCGATGGCCTTGTTCTCTCGCTTTCAACTCGTACGACCGATGTGCACCCCTCCTCCTTCCCCCGTACGTTCTGACAACAATGCCCCAGGTGTTGTGGTCGAGTGGATAGTCACCGGACAATGGATCGCAAGGTCCGTGGTTCAAGTCCCGCTGTGGCACTAATGTCTACATTTGCCACTCTCCACCCAGGTGTTAAATGGGTACCCGGTAGGATGCGAAAGCTAATGTGGTTAGATAAGCGAGTGTACGCTTGTAAAAGTGACGCCTGGCTGGAATGCTCCCCAGGGAGTGAAGAATGTGCATGGCACTGTGTGCGGGTAAGCCTGAATTAGATGGCCGAGGTAATAATATATATCAGTAAAGCGCTTTGAGAGGGCCTGCGGTCCTGAAAAGCGCCAATTAATAACGGACTATTATTAGTAGTAGGAGTAGTAGTTAAAGCAACCGCTACACCCTTGCATCAAAACAAGGTCATACATACATCATGCACGGTGGAGAACCATGAGCGTGATCGAGCAAAGGTGAAGTGTAAGAATATCTTTTCTTCGCAAACAAACCTTCCCATTCCCACAGACAAGATATAGGAAGGTGGGAAATCCCTAGCGCATGTTAAGGGGGCAAACGGCACTTTGCACCCCCTTGTACAGTTCCAACCAAGAGGGAGGGGCAGAGGCTAAATTTACCCATCCTGACATGATTTCCGACGGAGAAGGAAAAAAATCCAGCCACTTTTATTGGCAATAAAGGGAATCATTTGTAAGTTAATAATAATTTAAGATTGCACATGGAATGCACGGAGCGTAGACGCATTCTCAAAAAGTTCTTCTCATAATAGTAATTTGAAGCGATACCGCCCCTCCTCCCGGCTGCAAGGCGTACCTGGGACTTCGGAATTGGTCTCATTACTTGACTAGTATATGGATCACAGTATTAAGCTGGGAATGTTTGCCCCTCTCGAAACCAAAGTCTTGATACGCCATCGAATGGAATGGAACCACTCAATAAACTTATGTCGACCAAAAGTCAAAATAAGTTTATTTGTGTAATGACTAAAGACAACAGTTTTTCGTCATCCCTACTATATTAGTGCAAGAAATCTCGGAGTACAGTTCGATGCGAATTTGAATATGGGAGAGCACGTACATCACAAATGTTTGTAAATCAGCATACTACATGATCTATAATCTCAGACGTATTCGTAAATATTTAGATAAGGACATTACGAAAGACATTGTTAATGCATGTATCACCAATAAGTTGGACTCTTAATTGTTATGGTCTACTGTATGGGAACCCTGACTCTCAAATAGTGAGATTGCAACGGGTTCAAAACACCTGTGCAAGGCTGATCTGTGGTTGTTCCAAATTCACACGGATCACCCCAATTTTAAGAAATCTACGTTGGTTACCAGTACGCCAGAGAATAACATTCAAAACCTTGCTGATTGTATATAAAGCACTTCTTGGTCAAGCTCCCACTTATGTCAAAGAACTGTTGAATTTCAAACTTAATCAACACAATCGCAACTTGCGCAGTTCCCGAGATACTTTGTTG